ATGATCGTGTTGTTATTCCTCCTTCATTGCGTGAATCTGTCCTAGAAGATCTTCATAGTGGACATTTAGGTGTTGAAAAAATGAAGTCATTGGAGAGGCTCACATGTTGGTGGCCAGAGATAAATGCAGATATTTGTCGTACAGCAAACAATTGTGAAAAGTGTCATAAGCTGAAAAATCAGCATTCGAAGTGGACTCCATCAAAACTATTAAAAGGAAGAACTCTTCGGTCGAATATGAGATGTTTGGGGTCTGCAGAAGTTACGTATTATCGTGGCAATGATCTTCGACCATCCACGGGGATTGTTCTGAAGAATGTCGGGAAATCTATGGTGCGACTTCTAGATATCAATGACTTAAGTACACGCAATCGACATGTTGATCAAATACGATTCCAGCAACCAGGTGAGTCTGTTCCGATTTCAGTTGTTAATTCTAATACTAATGAGTGCATTCTAGATAATACGGAGTCTTTATCCAATACATTGTCGAACAGACACAGTATGAACTTGAGAAGAAGACGTACAATTGATTAAAGACACTTAGACTCTAATTTAAGCTGTGGCGGATGTGGTGTTTGAATGAACTAATGACTCCTTTGTACTTGTTGAATTTTTGGTTTCGAATTCTAAATACAGTACATTCGTTAGTGCTTGTGTAGTACTTCTTGATTTAATTGCGCTATCCCTGGGATTCTTAGCTCATACTCTAATTCAATTACTCCTAATTATCATATATACTCATGATTATACCTATAAAAATGGTATGTAACTTTTGTCAGGAATATATTGTTATAGTTATGGATAAACCATAACAGACTTAATGTCCCCCATCAGACATACGATGAAGCAGATCGATGGATTGTGCAAACCATCACAGTAAGGGATATTTCCACGATTGCTACCTAAACGTTCACTAACTACAAACACGTATTCATCCTTTCACTATACGGTCGAACATCCAATTTTTTATGATTCACCAAAGCCAGATCTTAACACCGTTCCCTCCAGTTACTTGAGAGCGTTTCTGGTGAAAACAATATTTCTGTAGTTTTCTCTTCCAGAATAAACTTCTTGAACTAAAAATTAGGTATCATCCTTGCAGAATCCGTTGAACTTCTAAAACCTAATGATTTTAATAAATTTGTCATTCATAACTTTGAAACGTGAACTTAGGGGTAGTGACAAAGGTGAGCATTCACTACTATACAGATTATCCGCACCTATCCAAAGCTGATAGGCTGCTAGATAAGTATTGTCAACAATGTGTGTAGTGTTCAAAGTATAAGGCTATGATACATGAGAGAGATCTTGCTGGTTCGCGTTCAACCTGCAAAACACATCCCTAACACGTTCGTCTTGATTTCGTTGAATGTTCTTGGATCGGTTTCAGTTTTTGCTGAAATTATTACTTGAAGTTAGGTTAATAAAATACAATAAATAATAAAAATGCTAACCTTTTGTTTATGGATTCATATTACACCCAATGCACTCAAGGATAAACTGAAGAAACTTGAGCGTAAAGTAATATCGACAGGGAAAGTGTTAAGCATTAGAGTAAATTCAATTTCAGACGTTAGCTGATTTACAGGCAGCTCTGTCTTCAAGTAACTGATATTTTTACTCGAATAGCCCCATACCGTTGAATATTTGAAGCGTAGTGCATTAGTAATTCTAGTACGTGATTTAATACATCAACAACTTGATGGGTCATAAGAATTATTCATAATCGTCTATGAGACTAAATAAGACAACTTGACACCAATAAATTTGGCAAACAAGACCGTTTGAGGGTCGGTGGTCTAAATTTAGGAAACTAAGGGTTATTTCTCTCAAACAGCGCTTCGTGAAACTAGTGAAACGAGATAAAAAAGTTAAAATGTCAAAATTTCTGACTCTTTGCTTGCTTAATATCATTCTTATGTCTTAACTCTACGATTTTTTCGATTTTTTAAGTGTTTAAGCGTCTCATACCTTTCGTAGATAAGTAATAGATACAATGCTCAGTTCTGTACCATAAAGAAACACCACTTCGTATGTATTCATGTTGATATGTGAAAAATCTTCACAATATTGGATTTGCCTTTTAAACTTTTTGTCTATCCAGCCTGATATGTTACGCTTCTCCCACTGTTGTCTATTTTCATGGACATGCATCATGTAACAATGACTCTGCTTTTTACCGTTAAATTTAGAGTAGTTGTTTTTGATACATTCACTTATGTCACTATTGTGTTTTGAATTTGCCAATGAGAAAGGACGGCTGTCCAACGTTCAACTGATGGTTACATAGATTTAAGACGGTGCCAGTTTGGAGGTTACACCACAAACTTATCGACATTTTATTTATTGACCTTATTTGCATATTTCGATTGGCATTCCTGAATTTCATCTGCGTACTCTCATTAGCTTTAAGATCTAAATAGAGTAGAATAGTGAGAGGTATTTATCGGTTTCTCTGCAGAAGCTCGGAGAAACGGATTGAATTATCTTTTCATGTATCCATCATTTAGTTAGTACATTGCCAGAGTTATCGGACCATAGTCAATGTTTCGTGCCTATAGATAACCCTCGTTCTATTGATAGGAGAAACTAAACTAGCAGTGAATATTTCTTTATTTAGATCGTGGTGCAGTCACAATGGAACGGGCAGTTACCTGTTCAAACACACGAAGCTTTTCAACATTCAAAATATGGGATAATAGGAAATATAGTGCCTATACAAGATAAGGAAAAGGATTAATAATTGCGCTCTATTGTTGTTTGAGGTGAACTCTTAACTGATCAATCCAAGCTGTTAAAAATGTACTTGGGCAAAGAGAACAGCATGACATGCAGAAAATAATTGTAACATAGTGCTTAGAAACCTTCTAAACGTGTTGCGGACTTACTGCTCCTTTATAATATGGAAATTTATTGTATCTTGTTTACTCCTAAATGATAAAAGTACTACGGGGCGTATCCAAAAGCGAACAACAGGATCAGTTAGTGAGCAGAAATTTATGACTTATGAGCAGCTCTTGGAATCACTGGGTATTTATCATTTGAGATATAGGGGACTCAGAGCCGTCTTTCAAACATAAATTTTATAAGCCAGTCGAATTATCTTCTTTATATTCCGACTAACATTTTAGTTTTTATTTACATTCGACCAATCATTACTCCATTCTTTTACCTAATTTATCAAATATAAATGCATTTTCAGTCTTGAGCAAATGATGAACCGACACACATCTTTAAAATACTTTTGTTCTGAGTTATTAACTTCCGCTGGTGTCAGGTTTTGGAGCGATGTTTACTACAAACTTGATAAGCTAGCACGTCAGGAATATATGACTCAGCTTCCCAGTTGTAATATGCGCTCAAACCTTTGAAGTTCAAGGTGTTACATTTGCGACATGTTTCAAATTGTATACACAATTAAGGTAATTCCATATAAAATGTCATTAGTTGCGGAAGGTCTAGGTAACTTGATATTCTGTAGTTTCAAGTCTTCTAACGAAAAAAATGTCTTTCGGTAAAACATTGCCTTGGTAGCTTTGAAGCTCATATGCAGCCACAAACATTTGCCATTTGGTCTTACGGCAATTTTATGGGACCTCGCAAATATTATGGAACATTTGTGTTTCCACCTCAACTCCGAAAAAGTGTATCACAAGGCAACTGAATACATCAGTCGTCAGACCGAAATTCAAGCCTTCAGACGGAGAGCTCTAATGTATAAACCCTTGAATTCTCGAATATAGGCGGCCCAAGAGCGATAGTTTTTTGTATTACAACACCTTGAACACTCCTGGAATTCCTACTTGAATGCGATTGAGACCTGAATTTAGGAGAATTACTAGGAAGTTAGGTGTTGACTATTTTTACCTGGACTGCATGCACAGTTTCTAAACCTTGTGGTCAGTAAAGTCTTTGAATTCGCTACCATTTGAAAGGTGCAAGCAACTTATAATGTCATACAAGATATATTCATACGGATTGAGAACTAAACACGTTAATAAATAACTAAAACTTCTTTTAATTCTACCAGACTTGTATACCTAGTTTCCAAATTCTGATCTCTGATAATCAGAAGCAAACTAACCAATAGCTTCTCCCATTTCGTCCATAATAATTTCAGAAATGGTTACTATTGTATGACGACCCTGCTGACCGCGGTGGACAGATGGACAAGCATCGTTGATTGCAGGGGGAAGGTGGATATCATTTACCTTGATTTCCCTAAAGCTCTTGATAGGGTTAATCACATATGTCTTATCAACAAGTTCAGACAATTGGGTATCAAACCACCTTTAATTGACTGGCTCAGTTCGTATCTGACAAATCGACATTTTAAGGTCAGGGTAAACTTCAATCTATCACAGGCTATGGAATGTCCCAGTGGGATACCCCAGGGCTCAGTATTGAGACCTCTTTTCTTTCTGACTTATATAAATGATCTTACCCAGCAGGTAACGTCGGAGAGATACGCGACCGAGAGGATATACAGGCACTTTAGGAGGATGTGATCGACTTCAAAGTTGGGCAGATAACAACGGACTACAGCTACAACTTAGGAAACCCCTCTCTTAGGGGTGACCTTCTAATGGCTTACAGTATCCTTAACACTCCTGGAAATCCTTTTAAACACCTACTTAAGCTTAGTCCCAACACTAACCTAAGGGGTAACACCCAGAAATTAGAGATACAACATGGTAGAACGGACTGCAGAAACAACTTCTACTCCTTAAGAGTTGTCAAATGCTGGAATTCGCTGCCGGCTGAGCTACTTCAAGCGCCTTCCCAGGAGTCCTTTAAGAGGCGACTTGATCTATTCTTAAGGACTAAGGATAGTATCTTACTATGATTTACCAATTCATTGTTTTTTCCTTTTTCTCATTAATATACCTAGGTTCTTGCCTGGAGATATTGGTGATCTCCTGATACTAGACACGGAAGCCTGTTAGGCGAAAGCTTCTTCTATTCTGTCCACAACCATTTGAACCATTTGAATCATTTGATTCGTTTGATTGACCTTATGTTTGAGCGGAATTTCAAGCCACTGGACTACACGGTCAGTCGTAGGCTTTTAGATTCAATGTTGTCGAAGTATGAAGTTAGTCAGGTTTTCTACCATATCTATTCGTGGTATGACATGCAATTCATGTGTCCAGCTTATTGAATCAGTCATCAGCAAGCAGTTCGATGTGATTTTTGTCAACGTAAGTTATAGTTCAAGACTTAATTGTAAATTATCTCTAATCCTGTCCTCAATTTTTGATTTCTTAAATGCTGGACTCTGTTTGTATGTTTAAGCTTTTGGCAGAAAAATGCGTTGAACTTGTCGAGGTTATGGGTTTTATCAAAGCTGCGACGTGTACTGTTACATTTGAAGGGATTTAACAAATAAACATTGAAGGCAGCGAACAATATCGTTAACGGCTACGCATTTTGTACAAAATAGATAGTTTTTGTTGGCTAGGATGTGGATTTTGTGCAACCGTTCTGCTTTTTTTGATCATAATAATGGTCATAAACATGCCATAGAGAAATTCAGAAAATAAAATATAGAAATACTGAATTACGGTGTGCTGTCAATAAAAACTACGGTTCTTCACACAAGTTGCAACAGTTCAATGGCAATAGTGAGTTATCCCTGAAGTCCAGATAAAATAGTGGTCGGCTGAAACTTTCGAAAACGTTACTGTTCCTAAAACTCGTTACGTTTTTAGCTATTTGGCCTGGGTGCATTTATTTCTACTTTGTCGTGAAGTAGCTAGGCTTCACGTATACAGAGGGCTTGTGATTCTTTTGTAGTATTCTAAATCCTTATTAGATTTTCAACCTCTTCAGCACGATTCGTTGACACAATCAAGGGAATTGCCTTTATGATGATTCCTTTTATAAGTTGCTTGACTTTGTCCAAGAGCTACCCAACGATGTATTTGAAAGATACATTTACGCTTGCTACTGGTGGATCGGTGAGTCAGGTCGCTCACTCGATTCGGTCATAGCTACCATCACGCGGTGACTAGGCCTGTCTATCATGGTAATTCAGTCACCTTTTGTCTGCTGGAACACTTGTTTTCTTAGTTCTTACCAGTCAGTTAGCTGCAACGTAGGACCAGGCACATATATGCATCGGTCCAAGTTGCCATACCGCATTAGCACAACAAGGTGGACATCGGATTCATAGAAGTAGTTAATTCAGTGGTGGTAATACGTAAAAGAAAGATTGCATATAAGGGTACAGTACAGGAAGAAAGAATTAGTTCGTAGAAAGAAAGATATGCAGCAGTTCCAATCTTACAGTTTAAAGGAAGACAGAGAGTGTATACACCGACGCCATTGTGATCGATTCTGAGCCATGTCACCAAGAGTCTCCAACCATTGGTTACGATAGTCACGCGGACCCCAACCAAGCAGTCTGCATATACCAACATGGCTCAGAATAGAAGTTAGTGACTTGAGTTCCTACCGCACCAGACACGTCAGTTGGAGAGCGTTAAAACTATTAGTAGATTTTAGATTCAAGGGCAAACTTGTGCTTTTGACTTTAGCGATGTTTTATACTTATAGTCAGTATGTCCATGAGTAATTTCTTGAAAACAGCAAAAGGAACTGTAAGCGGATTCCATTTAACTATGATCCTTTTTTATGATCGCAAAGCCTTAAGCAAATTTCCAGGTCATCCAAAACAATGAGTTTTGTAAGTTAACATAATGATCAAGTCTCTAGGGTACAGATGCATCTATTCGATTCCAGAAGGTCGGTGTATAAGTTGTTTTACCTACGAGCGTTTGGATTTCATAAATACTTGGATTTGAGGCTCGAAATCGTTTGCAGTTGCTCAGGTACATACATTTTTCGTCTTCCATCAAATTCTGAGTCTCTGATTTCCTCATAACTATTTTTTCGTTTTTAGTTCACTAATTTGTATTTTCTTTAATCCTTAATCTTTTCTAATGCCACTAATATTGTTACTACTTCTATTACTATGGAGTTTGACCTGATAATTTACCTCTTTGTCCTAATGGTGTATGACAACTTGAACTGATGTTCATACGTACTAAATTTTACGTTGTGATTGGTTGACTGAAATAGTCCCCTGTATAGTTTGGGTAGTTTCTGGCTTCTTTGTTTAGTGTATCTGTAAGTTGATGTGCGTTAGAGTTAAGCGACAATTTTTCGACTATATCTACTCTACTGATGAGTTAGTAGTCTGATTACGTGTACTTATTATCAAGGTATGATCCAATCAACTGCTTATGAAGCATTAGTCACCATATGACATCTTTTATATTTCAATATTTTACATAAATATTTGTAATACTCAAGCTAACATAAAAGTTTTCGTTATGTTTTCCGGTCTTATTTTCATTTTTAACGTCTTATGTATTCCTTTGACTGTCTATTTTCTGTTTGAGAGATTTAGCAGGACATTAGGGAAACAGTCAAATACCACTTAAGTACTAACGTCCCATTAGAAAGTCCCTGAAATAAAGTTACACGCAATCAAACTAGTGACATAAAAAAATCAGTGTGTTTAGCAACATAGTTATTGAATATTTAATGATGATGTTATTTCGATTTCTAGAATTATCCTGAATTTTAAGTCAGTACATTTTATATCAAATTCTACTAACTTTTCATCCAGATCTCACTTAAATCTGAGCGCGCGATTATTATCTACGATGAAGAAAGCAGTATTACTCCTGAGTGTCTTGCAGCCACCGTCAATAATATGGGTTTTGAAGCAGAACCATTTTATGAAAGGGAGACATTTCCTGAATGTTTAGATAAAACCAATGGTAAAGCTTTAGAGACGTGTTTATATGTTGAAGACCTCATTTCCACTGACTGTGAAGATAGGATTAATCAATCTCTTGTATGTTTGCCTAATTTAGTCACTTTTCGGATTAATACATCATCTTCTACTGTAGAAATATGGCATTTACAGCAAGTAACAACATCTGGTAAGTTATTTATTCATTCGTAAAATGTGTTAATATCTTTACAACGCTAAAAATAGAAACAGAACAGTAGGGGATACTAGTCACATTTCTAAGTGATGATAACATGTTCATAGTTCTTCTATAAATGTCGATCATACTGTTTAACTAAATGAAGATAATGCATTCCACAGCTTTTAGAGTAGATGATTTGTCGGAATAGTCGATCCTAATGTTTTAGATGCCAATTGATTAGTTATCACTAAGCATACATTTATCATTCCTTCAGTCCTGCAAATTATTTCCCAGTTATTTTTTAACCATAAGTCTCTGTAATTTATGAATAATTAAAAGTTGACCGATTTTGTTTCCGAACCATTTATGTAGTTGTGGTACGTGTAATAAATGATTTAAGGATTGACAAGGGAAAACGTTTGTTTATCTAGGGAAGATAGAACTATACTGAGTTGAACAGTCGTTTGGTTCTAGTATGGGACTCCTTAGCAGTGTGCATTCACGACACCGCACTCGGGACTAGAACCCACGACCTTCGGTCTTATTCATGAACGCTTAACCTCTAGACTCCTGGGCTAATTTCTAACTTCAACCAATCCAAAACAATGCGCGACCACCTTCCATTTACTTTGGTTCACGATTTAAATGAGATTCAGTTATCTCCACAACCCTTTACAAGCATCATGGGCCCATTCATGATTAGCTTCGAAAGGTGATTCCTGGAGTTCTTGTGTAAAGCTGTGATCACTATAGTTCGACTGTGTCAGGTGTGAAGCAGTTATCCATTTAAGACAATAATAGTCGCACAATATCGTGGATTGGTTGACACCATTGGGTGCCCGCTCAGTGATCTAGAGGCTAACCATCCGCGCGCGAAACCGAAGGCTTTGGTTTCGAGTCCCGCGTGCTGGATTGTGGATATGCACTGCCGAGAAGTCCCATACTAGAACGAAACGACGGTCTTGTGATTCCAGGTTTTTACTAGTGCTCTAATATATTCCTTATGTTAAACATATGTATTTACATTAATTTAATGTTACCTTGTAGATTTAATAGATTGTATCAGTAAGGCAGGATTTAAAGCTATTACGAAACCTCAAACAGTGTCTATGTGCACAAACGTTTCAACTTCAAATAACAGTAGAACTCCATCAATGAAATCTGAACGTCTGTCAACTATTCATCTATCTAGCAAAGCAAATTTGCAAAGTTTTCATCAAAATCTTTTGATTGTCAAAGTTGACGGAGTAATTAACACTATTAAATTCCATGAACTACTTCAAGCATATCATGATTCCATGAATCTTTCAAACTGTGATTTGCATGTTTTGGCTTCGTCTCAGAATGGAATGTTGTTAACTGTTAATATTTTATCTCCTATTCCTTGTGACTCTTCAAATAAAGGTGTTCGGTTAGTTACAGTTGATTTAATGAAACAAATTTCCGACTTTTTAACTTCTAAACAATATCCAGCTGCTCAGATAAAGTTACTTAATTCAGTTACAAATAATTCTGAAGTGTATAGTGTTTCTAATCATGGTGATCAAAATGCGACAAATGATCACCCTTCTAGAGACTATACAAGTAAAGTAAGTTGATTACTATTGTTTTGTCGTCTTCATATAGTCGAATATTACTTTGCCAATTATAAACATTAAAATATTAGAGTTGTGAAGAATTATCCAGTGCTTAGTTTCATATCACCAAACCTGAAGGCTTAAGGACTAATAGAGAGATTGTGGATGTTCATAACTGTGGAGTCACATACTAAAACAAAACGGTTGTCTAATGCCCCCTAATTTTAAGTGATTCTTCGGTCGATCTTAGTCTGTGATGTAAAATCTCGGAAGATTTGTAACCATCTAAATACTTTAAACTGACTGAACAGTTGCGTTAGGTTATTGTTCTACCCACAAAAGCGACATTTTACGATCTTTATTTCATTCCTACTTATTCGGATAAGCGTTCAACGACCTGTTTGTTATTCAAGTTAAACTTACTCTGATATGTTGCGTTAAACGTTTTTGTTAGTGGTAAGTGGTTTACCTATAGCTTATGAAAACATCATAGGGAAGTGTACTTAGTTGAATAACTTAAAATAAGTTCCATATTAATTTCTTCGTATATGATGACTTTCCGTTTGATTCTATTTCTTTATAAGAACTATTCTCAATCTTTTGAGGTTTGAAAACTAATAATGACTAATTATTTACTGCTCGCTGTCCGACTAATGATTACACTACGTCAATAAATATACTACATTTATTTTCGTATAAACTTTTATGGGTTTGAAGATGTAGAGAAAGCAACCCTCTTCAGTGTATTTCTAGCATAATAGATCATTCAACTATTTCACATGATTTTTTATACAGAAAGAGTACTTTGAAAAATCTTGTTTTCTCGAATATTTTCACGTAGGTTTATTTAAACATTGGGAAATTAAGAGCTAGTTACTAGTATTTTGGCGAATCTATAACCATTAACTGCTCATTGAAAGAAATTGTTGAGTAAACATATATGATAAGCCTCATAAATTGCGGCTACATAAAACGGAAACCTTTTTTTATTTCTACAATCAGAGTTTGTAAGTTAATGCGACTAATTAATTTTCAATCTTATTCAATGTATAATCTAGGCTTAATACGTTTGTTTAAAGATGATTACTGGGATATTTGTCTTTTATTTTTGTTGTCTAGCAATTTGTGTTGAAGACAGTTTTAGGATTCGATCAAATATGTGCCGAATAGGCGAATTTTAAAAATCACTGAATACATTAGTTGGTCATTTCATTCACAGAATGTATAGTACATCTTTGTCGTCGACCAAGATTGTGATTTTTTTAAAGTTTTGTTCACTTATAATAACTAATACTCTAAATCCACCTTAGCAAATTAGTTATTTTTCGTTTCATCTGTTTTTCTTATGAATTATGCCCCAGCTGAATAGTTATGAAATCACTGTTTCCATATACGGAATGCATTGCCATTCATGTGTACGAAAAATCGAATCGTATTTCAACGAAGAATCAGTTAAGCAACTATACAATTTGAAGAATTGTTGTGTTTCACTATCAGATAAAGAGGGTAAATTCACACTGGAGAATTCAAAGGTACAAGCGTTAACCCAGGATGATTTGGTTCACATCACTTCTGATCTATTGGAGATTAATGTTGACAAAATACATTTAGAATTACAAAAGCTTGGTTTTCAAACATCATCTGTTACAAGTAATTCAACAAATATGGACATTCTTCCTTCTGATCAAAATGGTACGAATAAAGCATGAACTTACTAGGAAAATGCTTCCGTTTAACCTTAATCCGTTTGTTTCCACAAGATCACAACCGAAAATAAAGTAATACCAAAGTCACTTGTAAATAAAAATACAAAGAAATGAGTAGAGGGTTTTTGTATTGCCTAATTTCCCAGTAATGAGACTAAATTTAAACAGTAAAGCGTTTAATAAAATATACCGTTACTCAAACTCCACAAAAGGTTTATCGACTAAATAGTGAGTCATACATGTGTGAAATTCAATGACACTGAGCTGCTGAACAATTATATCTATCTATCTCTTTCTTATATATATATATATATATATATATATATATATATATATATATATATATATATATATATATATATATATATATATATATATATATATATATATATATATGTATAGCGAACCGATAAGTGACATGCAATATGGGCATTGAATCGTTACACAAAAATATTTCGAATATGTTCAATTATAACTAGAATAGACATTCAGACGCCCCACAGTGGTAGTATTTCTCGACCTTAAGGCGGCATTCGACTCTGTTGATCGTGAGGTTCTATGGCAGTGTTTGTCACTGAAAGGAGTACCAAAGAAGTAAATTAACCTTATAAAGGCTCTCTACTCGAACACAACTGGTCGAGTGAGAGCTTATGGTGAACTGTCATCAGAACTGATTACCTCAAGTGGTGTTCGTCAGGGCTGTCCACTCTCTCCATTCTTGTTTAACTTTGTCGTTGACGTCCTTTTAGAGATGACACTTTCCTCATCTAAATTTCCAGGAGTTGAACTTCTACCGGGAGATCCACTTGTTGACTTAGATTATGCCGATGACATAGTTCTATTTGGTGAAGACGCTCACAAAATGCAGTCTGCTGACTACTCTAAGCAACAATGCAGGCATGTTCGGCATGCGATTTTCTCCCTCAAAGTGCAAAATGTTACTTCAGGATTGGGTTGCATCGGCATCCGAACTAGTGATAGGGAGTGAAGTAGTTGATCGTGTCGACCGCTTCACTTATCTCGGAAGTCTCATCAGCCCTTGTGGCTTGGTGTGTGACGAAATCTCAGCACGGATACAAAAGGCTCGACTAACTTTTGCCAACTTGCGTCATTGGTGGCGTAGGCGAGATATCCGTCTAACAACCAAAGGACGTGTTTACTGCGCAGCAGTTCGTTCCGTCCTACTTTATGGCAGTGAAACATGGCCAGTAAGAGTAGAGGATATTCGTAGGTTACTAGTATTTGATCATAGGTGTCTTCGAAACATCGCTCGTATATCCTGGGACCACCGAGTAAGCAACTCAGTTGTTAGGAAACGGGTACTAGGTAAAGATGGCAAATCAATTGATGGAGTAGTGAAACTTAATCAGTTGTGATGGCTGGGACATGTGTTACGTATGCCCGACCACCGACTGCCCCGACGTGCTATGTTTTATGGTGTAGGAGTAGGTTGGAAGAAAGCTAGGGGCGGCCAGACCAAAACATGGCTTAAATCCATGAAGTGGACTGAGCCGTGTTGGTAGGTGTAGACTACTTGGTTGGGGACCGCGAGATGATAGCAACCGATGGTAAGTGACTTGACATGGCTGAAAATAGTTTGCAATGGCGCAGGTGTATCTACTCTATGTGTTCTCTCAAACTCTAATCTTCTGTATTCTTCATGTCCTTTATTTTCCTTCCAAATCTATTCCACTGGATTATACTCCTTAAATAACATCTTCAAACCCTAATGTTCCCTATCACTACTTATACTTTCACTTTCTCTACCACTATGGGATTTGAATCGATAACTGAATCTCTATGCTAATGTGGTATGGTAACTTGAACTGATGTACGTACGTACGAAGTTCCACGTTGTTACTGACTGACTGATAACTAGAATAGTGAAAATCTCCAATAATGTGTTCCTTTAAATTAAACCACTCTGGATCCCGGTTGCAAATAACATTCAAGACCTTACCAAATGAAGTTGTTTGTTTGAATCCTGCTTCACATATGTCCGTCTCGACAATCAGATAGTATCACTAGCCTTCACTTTAAAAGTGTAAGTACATGCCGCGTACACGAACATGTGCATAGTAAGGTATTTTTATTTTATTGTTAACAGTTATAATATGAAGGCAGTATCAAGTGCACTTCACCCACTTTAATCTGAAATGCTGGTTGATTTTATCTTGAACAGTTCTTCGTTTTTGCCAAGTGTAACAGCTTGTGACATAATCTTAATTGTATAAATAACATTATCAATAACTTTTTCAACTAAATTTTAATATTACTGAGGTCATGAATTGATATAATCTGGGAAACCATTGGATACCTGGAAGCACTGAACAAACGTTTCGTCCTAGCATGTGACACCTCGGGGGTATACATCTACGACCCTGCAACGAAATCAAACCTAAAACGTTAGGTCTTACACACAGAAGTTTAACTTTTAGACCACTGGACCGTGATCCAATGGCGTAAAAGTCTAAATTGGATCGGTATGTGATCCAAATGAAATTTGACAATCTCCACATATGCTTATACGTTTTAGCACTTATTCTGAGTGTTTCGGTTGGTTACTTCTAAAGAACTATACCTCAAGGAAAATATAGATGTTAATCCTTTCGTAGCTTTTATCGTGTATGGACAGGCTAGCATCTTAAATATCCGTAAACAAATGTGATTTGATAAAATAGTCCAGATGACTATGTGGTGTAATGCTGCGAGTTTATGATTTATTGATCTGACTCTAACTCGTTTAGTCACAGATTCAATTATTCTATGAATCGTTAACATCACTGTTACGCTTAATAGTCACAACAATCACATACATACGTTGTTTGGTTGATAAAAATGGTAACGATCAGTTGTCAAGTATGATCTCACTTTATGTTTGACTACATGTACTTTATTTTGAGGTGAAGTTTTGAAGGAAGAAAAAGAGGGATCAGAAGTTTTGTCTGGAAATTGTAACTCACTTAAAAAAATCACTTTTAGCCTAATTATTAAAGAGTTTGATTACGCAATACATTGCTTGTTTGGTGTACTATCCAAATCAATTGGATAATCGTAGGGATCTCTTTTTGTAAAACCATTTTCATTATTTAACGCTGAACATTCATTCTTACATTGAGAGTGCAATGAACGAAGCCTTGTGGTAGTGGTCAAACTAATTCATGACACCATTTCATGAGGTTGCCGCTATATAATCAATGTAAGTCATGTAACAAAACTGTAAAATCCCCTGGTTAAGTAAACTATAAAATGGTGGAAATTAACAATACGTACTTAAATAAACTATCATAAGCATCTTGGCATACTTAGTTTTAGCAAATTCTTTTTAGTGTTTCAACTTTCCTATACTCCGCCTTGTTAGTTTTCTATCCTTATAGTATTGCATAAAGTATGACAGAATTGAAGTAATGCATTGTTCTCATTTATACTTAATGATATTTTTTATACTTAGATCAACTACAACTTGCAACTACAGTAAATTATTTATCTGAAGTTCCATTAAACGATTATCTACCTAATACTATTCCATATTCATCGTCATCATCATTACTATTATCTAAAAAGAATTTGTGCACAAATCCTACTACTACCACTACTACGTTATCCAACTCCAATGGTCATCTATCGACATCCTTATCATATCAAAGTAAAGGAATAAATTTAAATGTACATTATGAGAAATGTTATTTAAATGTTACAGGAATGACTTGTAGTTCATGTGTACATATTATTGAACAGAATTTATTAAAATTAAAAGGTTAGAACGTTTTAATATTTCTTTTTCAAAATGTTATTTTGTTCTTCTAGTTAACATTTAAATTTGCTTAAGGCAAAACAAAACAATTACAGTTTAGTTGTATATAATAATATACTATCTTATTCAACTTGTACTGTCACTCGTGTTTCATTCTCTTCATGAATTAAGAAAATCCGAACAATATCAATCATAAGAAATCCGTCTTAGTTAGTACTTAAAACTTAATTTTTGCACTTTATATGAATAGATTAGTCTTTACCTCTTGTTTAACTAAAACATTACACAATGTATATGAGTGTAACTTGAAAATAGTGTTAACTTTCAACCATGTTGAACGTACAACAAATCTAAGCATTGACAATTGATGATAGTTACACAATATCGGGAATTGATGTAAGGTAAAAATCTAAACATTTGGATACTAGCTCAATGGCCTCAATGTCAAGTGCTCAAAGCGAAACCTGAAGGTTCCGCGTTCAATCTCTGATGGTGTCTTATATACGTATTACTGAGTAACCTGATATTATCGTGAAACCTCTATCCAGTACCTCCTGGTTTTCAAAGGTGACTGAAATCAGTCCATTATATGAAATTTCAAACTCAGCATTGCCTACAACACAATAATAATAATAATAATAATAATAATAATAATAATAATAATTTTCAAAATGTTTGAACTAGACATTTAAATGGTAGACAAAAAAATTATCACAAAATGGAATCTTCTAAACTATCTATTTATTTCTTCTTAACATTGAACAGCCAACTATTTGATACATGAAGTAGTTATATTTCGACCGGTTAAAAGTTTACTATCAGGCAATAAAATATATAAAATCATGTTGTTTTCAAATAGGAACCACTAATCCTTGAATATCGTATGCACAGATGACAAGTCCATTTCTTCAATTTGCTATTGTTCATAACAATTCTCTAGTAACACTGATGTATTCTTAATATCACAGTTTTGTTGTCGAACTTTTCAACTTTCAATACTTTTAAACAGGCAGTGGCGCGCTTCCTAAGAAAACCACCTGGGTAATATTCCAGCCCTCACATAAATCAAGTGATTTGTGTGGTGCATATGTATTTGGTGCCTCTTTGTACTAATGTTCATATGTTTAAATAAATAATAAATAAACTTTAAACACTAATGTATGAAATAGTAAAATTAAGAAAACTAGTATCTTAGATTGAAACTTTACTTTAAAAATTAGTTTGTATAAAATTTTCGCACTCAACGTTTTACCTCTTTAATTTCGTATAATCGAGTACAATTTTTAACTTCTTAATTTATTTACTTTTCTTTTCTTATCACCTGTTCTTTTTGTCTTCGCTCTCTCTCTCTCCATTCATATTCAATGATTTTTGAAGTTTGTGTAAACCTCTGAAATGTTGGAAGAGTCGCTTCAAAATTATCTACCTTATAGTGTTCCATTTCTGCTGGAAAACTTTAACTTACATATAAATTTCAGCAACTAGGGTGAAATATTTTCTTCTTTTAATTACGTTTATATAAAAAAAAGAATGAAATTGATCCAAATATAGATAGATGGTGTTCTTTTGAATTTCGTGAATAACACTAGTTTTCATACCATGTGTTTATTTTTTTCGCTCTTTTCTGCTGCAACTTCCCAGGTGTTCACTCTGCTTTGGTTGCATTAATTGCTATGAAAGCAGAAATCGTCTATGAACCTACTTTAATCACTGTTAAACAATTAATTAAAAAAATTGAAGAATTAGGTTTTTCTGCAACATTGTTAGAACAACATGATAATTTACATGGAAATACTGGACGGGGAACTATTCATTTCACGGTTAGTATTGATTAATATGTATACATTATATGTGTGATGTAAATGTAATCATATCAAAACTATCAGTTGGTCTGACTAACAATAATTTTAAGTAGAGTTTAGGAACTATAATAAACACAAAGTAATCAGTTTGACTAATACGCCTTCTTAAATCATAGTTTCCCCAATCATCAAGAAATAGAAAAAGCTCGAAAACTGGCTAGTTATTTCACAAGACCATGGTTATGTCGACCAATATCTATCTTGTTCAGATTTTGACATATGGACATACTTATTAGCGTTCGTCTGTAGCCATATTCTTTGACCTAGAGACAGTATTCTACTCCGTCGATCAAGAGCCACTAACTGTCATGACAAAAATATGCGTCGCTTAACAAGAAGCTCTTTATTTGTATATGATTGAAATGAGCTTTTATTCTAAGTAACTATGTTTAATGGTGTTCGTCGGCTGTATTAGCTGTTTATTTTACACAGATTACTTGTAGTTCCATCATAAATGATGCTTCCTTCGACTTTTCAGCTATTGATCTACTACGCGCAGATTCACTGATCAACTAGTACCACGTAGATCAAATATCACTGTCATCTATACTAGATTATATAATTATTCCTGGTGAGTCTGTAACTGTGGAGACTTCACAGAGGTATAGAAAGTTTGTCTCACTTTTGTTGACAAGATGTTTACCCTACCGTCCAACGACAAGTTTATTACGAAGTGATCCACTTTGGTTTACGTTAGGATTGAGAACTGCAATTTCACGTATTATAAAGTCATGTATAAAAAATTATTATACGTCATCAAATGGCTAGAATCTACATCACCTATCATCTGTTTAGTTGATTAATAAGTGAAGGTGAAAATAATGTTGATGAATGACACCCAATCACAAGTTATAACTTGACCTAATGTTTTTAATATAAATGACAAATGGAACAGTAGTTTATTGACTGGGAGGGGATTCGAAATTTAACTGATAAGTTGCAGGTTTGAACCCCACTAAACGTACTTCGGCTTGGGGAACCAGATAATATTACCAGCCCTCACACTTGGAATATGGTTCAAAACCGAGTACATGAATTTGTACCTCAATAATGAGTTTATAAAATAATTAGAATTACTGGATTTTATAACAGACACAAGCATACACTAATTTGGGCATTTTTGAGGTAACGTTTATTGATAACGTCGATTTCAAGAAATTTTCGACATTGTGTTGTCCTCTTGTGTGTAATGTACGTCGAAATTACCAACCAGTAATATTTTCTGTGTGGGCTAGCAGTTTTTTTAAACGAACTGTAATGCTTTGACATATTTGTTCCAAGCAGCTTGTAATTATTGTGTACGTCTGAAATATAGTTTTGTCAACGTATTTGCATAGGTGTATTTCTCTCTCTCTCTCTCTCTTTCATATCCATCTCAATTCCCTGTAATTATTTTCAGATCCATGAACTATCAGCTAATCCTTCTGAATACACAACAATTGAATCCACATTAAACAAATCTAAAGGTGTATATAGTGCTGCTTTAGACTCAAAAACCAAATGTCTTCGTATTGTATATAATCTGAATGAAATTGGACCTCGTGATCTAATAAAACAAATTGAAGTATGTTTTTTTTCTGTGTGTATTTACTGTAATATTTCATCAATTGTCATTAGATTATAGATAATACAATGAGTTTAATCGTTCTAAATTCTCTCTATCAATATGTATGTGTGTATGTAATTTTTAGAATTTTGACTCAGTTATATTTCACCTATTTTTCAATATAGTAATTTTCATATGAAACACTTTAATCAGTTATTTGAGTTCCTTTTTTGTATGGTTTATATTTATTTTTTTAAAAACAAAGTTTAAATCCAATCTAAAATTAGTATTATGATCGCATTAGTTTGGCACAAAAAGTTTTTGCCAATGTGTCAATTCAGTTTTATGTCAATAACTTGTTAGTTGGATTATTGCAGTATCCTTAATGATTGTGAAATGTTCCCTCATTAGTCTTGACATAAAATCCCTAATAGTTCAATTCCTGCTCATCCATCTACTATTTGTGACAGGTTACCAGAACCTTTTTCCAATTGTTATTACCCATGACTTGATGGTTATAATTACACATACACCTACTCATTGGTTTAAATTCAATCAAATTAATAATTTTCAGTTTGGGATTGTGGAGATTGTTGGATTTCATTTAAGTCATGAACCGATCGATATAAGACCACCGTTGAAAAACTGGGAGCACCAGACGGGCGTTTAGTCCTAGTATGAACTCCTTAGCAGTGTGCATCTGCGACCCCGTCCTGGGCTCAAATCTCGCGCGCGGGATCGTGAATGCGCACTTCTGAGGAGTCCCATACTAGGACGAAACAGCCGTCCAGTGCTTCCAGGTTTTTAATGGTGGTCTAATATCGATCGGTTCGTGATTTCAACGAATAATTGATGCATATTAGGTTAATATACGACCATAATTTTTTTGTTATCATGTGTTTGGTATGGGATATTCGATGGACACTCAAAGCGAAGCTGCGGTTTTATCAGGAGACAACTCGGGTCTTTGATCTATAAGTTTAATCCACAAGACAGTTAACGAACGTCAGAAGATACAGCCTCATGGTACCTGGTGATCAAACTATTTCGATCTCAACTCACTACAATTTCAAGGACTTATCTGGAAATAAATCACTAGTTAATTGATTATTATAGTTTATATGGTATTTTTCTGGAGATTGGTTTAGTTTGTAAATGGTAGTCATCATCCATTGACCTCCTATAAATCAATTTATCTCCACAAGATTCGTTCAACAAATATTGCGTATACCAATATTAACATAAAACAACTAATTATATTGATGTATAATGAGTATATGTGTTACTGTAAATTTTCCGTATTCTGTTATTCCTCCCAGTTTCTTCTTTATTTTTAGAATTTAGGTTATCAACCAGTTTTATGTCGACCTGAACAGAATTTGCATGAATCAAGTTCCTTACTTAGGTATGTCATATATATATATATATATATATATATATGGTTAGTCATTAGTTTTATTTTTGTTTTGGTGTTGTTGTCACATGGAAATATATGCGACATTACTTCCTTCATATTTCAACTTTGATGATAAATTATTTTAGTGCAGAGATTTGTTCCAGCTGACTTTGCCACAATGTCGACCATTGTCTCTTCCTCTCTCCTTGTCTTCAGTGTTTACATAACAAGTGTTTCTATTACATACTAACCTACATGTCATTCTTAGCGTACGTTAATTAATTTTCGAAAGAATCTGGGTTTAATCACAATTGATTGATCACTGGGTGACCAATGTCATGCGTGTCTAGTCCTTATCATTAGTGCAGATCGAATGCTATCGATCATGTTGCAATGTGGCCACCAGTCTAGGTGACTCGACACCGCTGGGAACTATTGTAAGGTTAGATGGTGGTTGGAGGTGGTCGACAGGAAACCCTGGACCCGGGTTTCGTGCTACTTGGCACTCGTCAGCAAGGTGTACCTGTAATCTTCGAGGGAACTGGTGCTCCCCGGCGGATTCGATCCCGTGTCACCCAGCTTCACAGTCAGAGACTAGACACGCATGACATTGGTCACCCAGTGACCAATCAATTATGATTACATCTCAGTCCTACAGGAGGTCGGTCGCGGCCCGGATAGCTCAGTGGTAACGTCTCTGACTGTGAAGCTGGGTGACACGGGATCGAATCCGCCGGGGAGCACCAGTTCCCTCGAAGATTACAGGTACACCTTGCTGACGAGTGCCAAGTAGCACGAAACCCGGGTTCAAGGTTTCCTGTCGACCACCTCCAACCACCATTTAATCTGGGTTTAAGTCTATAAATTAACATTTAATGTAGATATTATTTATTTTAACATTTCGAAATTATCACACCCAATGGTACTAGAATATAATCAGAAAATAATTTATATCTAAGGAGATATGATCGGCCCAGTCAATTGAAGTAAGGTGAGTAGAACACTCAACATTTAGTGCACATGATGTTGAGTAACTTAGACTAGTCGTTATATTGCATACTTAATCTATAGAATTCTATCAGCACTAAAGGAACTAGACAAACATGACATTGTTCACAACTTAGTAATCAGTGAATCATAAATATATTTCATTCCTACAGAAAGTCAGTCGCGACCTGGATAACTCAGTGGTAGTATCTTAAACTATAGACTATAGATTTCACGTGACCAGCCACCGCAAGACTTGAAGGACAAGAATTCAATCCTGGTTAATAAGTTCGTTGATTGACACTGCTGTCCTTCTGTGAGTGAGGATAAAATAACTGTTCAGTGCTCTATAGTTCTCAAAATTAAATTGATTTATCGAACTCCCCAGCTAAAATATTAATTAATTACTTAACAGTTGTAATTATAGGGTTGTGGAGGTTGTCGAGTCTCATAGGAAATCATGAACCGATCGATGTTAGACCACCACTAAGAACGTAGAAACACTGGACGGCTATCTCGTCCTAGTATGCGACTCCTCAGTAGTGTCCATCCAGGATCTTGGACCTTCGGTCTGGCGCTCAAACGCTTAACCTCTAGACCACTGAGCGGGCATCCAAGGATGTTAATTTCTAAGTTCAACTAATCCACAATATTGCGTGACCATTCAACACTTATAACAGGAGTCATGTCACAATCTGTTAGTTCTGTTTGGTGATTATTCCATGCTTTTCGAATCTTTGACTAGCCTGGTATTTGAGTAGGAGAAAAAAAGATCAAGATTCATCAACAAATGGATTCTAAGAAAACAACTAAATGCGTACAGAAATTATATATCTTATACATACATTGTCTAGATTGGGATACGTGTTTGGTAATCTAAGCAGGACGAATAATTCATTCACAATAGGATCCCCATAGCTACACTTTTCATTTGCTAATTGGCTTGGTGATAAAATAAGGTCCATGTAATCTCTCAGCAAGATTTAACTTATCGATAATTATTCGACATATCTCCTCTCTCTTCTGAAAAATAAATCTTTCTTCGTATCTGTTTAGATGACAAAATGTTACGATATATTTATGTATCTTATAATAAATTTCTTATAAATTAACGTGTAATATCATTATTTATTTATTTATTTATTTTTGTTATTATAAAAATATGCACAACAAAAATTGTCTAGATGGCGTAGTTCATTTTATTTCAGTTTAGTTTTTGCTATTCCTACAATGATGACTATGATTATTTTCATGTTATTATGGCCACATTATGTACCAGAAAGTTGTCCAGTACATTTTCGTGAAATATCGATTAATGGACAACAACAACAGAACCTTCTAAATTATTCGAATATTACAAATGAACATACAATACACTATTTTACTACGCCTATGATAATACCTGGATTGTCAGTTGAAAATATGCTAATGTTTTTATTAGCCACACCAATACAGGTAGGTGAACTTTGTTAACATCGATGTGTCTTCTTCTGTCATCTAAAATCTTGTCTTATAAATAGCTCAAAACCTGACTCATATGTATCGGTCAAGTAGCCACCTATCATATCACAATAGCCACAAAGAAAAAGGACACTAAAAAACTTTCCTAAACCACTGCAACCATTTTTAAAACATTTATCAGCTATGGTGCCCTATCATACATTACAATCCTCTCGATCTGAACGAAGAGGTTTACTACTCCTAACATGGTTCAGACCTTATACTATGTTTTTGATCACCCCCAGCATTCTTTCAATCTGTTCTTATACTAGTCACCATTTTTATTTAAGATGAACAATATAAACTTATAAATTATTTTCAACCAGTTGGTCAACTCGATCGTGCCTGTTACTGTATGATGGTTGGGTTTGGTTATCATGATGACTCACTTGAGCTTTATTGACTGTAACGCTTCCTTTGGACCCTGCAATGCCAGACTTAAACAGGTCAACTGGAGAACAGTAAGATGAAAGGCGAAGTCGTACTGCTGACTGTACTGGGTTGTGTCGGTAATAAGGTGTTTCTGTCAAAAAACGAGTATCTGCAATAATGCTGCCTTTTCGTAACGGGGTTAGAAAAGGTCGACCCTAAAAGTATCACACCTCACTTTACCCTGCGGCGTTCCATCTCAGGCAGTAAAGCCTTTTAAAACACAGAGCTAACGCATCAAATACTACCAAAATAGCCTCATGTAACCAACTTTAAGCACTTATCCATTTGGCTCTGTGTCCTCACTCTTAGTTCGTCAATATCCCTGATAATCCTGTTTCCATTTCCAATACATCAGAAAGAGGTATCTTATTTCGCTGTGGGAAACTGGGAAATGACAGTAGCCCATATACCTCTAACAGCACCGGAGATCACCTTGTTCACCACCAATTGTTGTGCTTTTTTCTTAGTAGTAACGTTTATTAATTGAAGGCTAAATGAATGTGAAATATAGGTTTCCTCAACAATGATACTAGTATGCTAAAACATTTCATTCAAAGTTTCGTGCTGATTCCTTTCAATTATCTTACACTATATCTAATGATCAACGATATAATTTTATTTCTTTTATCTAATGCCTCAATACATTCATTAATTTAATTCAACAGTTTAAAAATCCCCATAGAATATTCAAAAATGAAGAAAGTTTGAGAGTACATTATTATTATTATTATTATTATTATTATTATTATTATCATTATTATTATTATTATTATTATTATTATTATTATTAGTAGTAGTAGTAGTAGTAGTAGTAGTATCCCAATTGACAAGATAAAATTCTCCTACTATGCATTTTCTCACACGATTTTTGCACTTTCAATTTTGCTATATTACTATTCTACTGATTATAATCGGACACTTTACTCCAACTCATTCTGGCCTTCATTAAATTACCTTTATAATTTGCAAATAGCACAATTTTGAGATATTTATGTTGTAACAGATACAAACGTTCACCATTTTTAACATATAAGATTGTCAAATTCATTAGTACATGCCTTATTTTGGCATTTGTAAAATATCATAATTATGGACTTAGAACTGTAAAGCCTGATAATTTAATTCAATAGTCGATTATAATCATTTTATCATCATAACCAATTATTTTTTTTCTGATTGCTCACCAAAGTCTGTCAATGAAGAAGGACAACGTTAACCAAGTTTCATTCAACATAATAGAATAATTCAGCTTGATTTTACATATTTGAAGTAAGTCGTCAGAAAAGCTTAAACATAACAGAGATCAGTGATGATTGTAATAGGTTAACTTAGAAGGCTCTTAATGTGATACTGACCTAAAGGGCTCGAAATCTCAAAGTACCAAAGGTTTCTTCAAGATTTTATAAACGCCATGATTATTATTATTATTATTATTATTATTATTATAAACATGTATCTGAAAGAAAAGCACAACTGGTACATAATAAAAATAAGTAGTAAATAACTCACTAATTCTAATCAATCAATAAATAAATAATGTTCATTTCTTTCCAATTTTATATTTTCTTTCATGAAGGTATCGATTTATTAATTTCTTTATGTGATATATTGAGTCATCTTTTAAAGATTATGAGTGCATCTAGAAAAATAATCATATTTATCTCTTATTAAAGTTATATAAAGAGAGTGTATTAACTCAGTCTTTTTTCTAGCTTATCGTTTTGTGGATAATGAATGAAATTTCTTACGCTCATTATAAGCAACACCTATGTGTCGATTAAGCGTGTACAACATAGGTGCATATACATTTCATTAAATCTCATATTATTTCTCAATTGAACAGTAAACGATCAAATCTTAAATCTACATTTTATTACAGAATCTTAGCATATTTTAATGATATACAACCATAGACACTTCAATCATACTTACCTTAGATTCATTATAAGAAATAATGAATTAGTCTTTCGTAAAACAATATTTCACTGTCTATAAAAATATATGATACTACTGTAGTGAACGAGAACATCAGTTGGGGGACATCCCGATATATTTTATTAAAACAGTACAGAATATCTTGGTAAAATCTGAGGACAATATAGTAAATACTCTATTTGCAAAATATCCATCAATTGTCCCAGACTTTGTTGTTTCTTTGTTCTCATACCAATCACTCTCTGTTCTCGTTCTCTTCTCCTCGATATTCTTAACCTTCTGCCACCAGGCATTCCACTTTCGATTAGTGGTGCATAATACTTATATCTGTCAACATCAATGGCACACACCATACTACTACTAATTTTCTGTCAGGGATCTCTTAAAATGCAAAACAAATGAAGATATTAAGGGATGAAACATCTAATACGAGAAAAGCAAAAGTCATAGCAATTGTTATGCGTTATCACATAATGAGTGAACGTCTTGGGTACAAAATTAAGTTATAGGATAGTGATCCATGACTGCGTAGCGCACCTATTTTTCAATGCTTAATAAATGTCTGCAATAAAGCTTTCTCAATTAGTGAGTGACTGCTGTTTAGAAGACTGTAATTTTCACTGAAGATACCATTTCAATCTCTTTCATTTTGCTTACTTCTCTCATCTGGTAAGTTGGAATGCGTTACACTAGCAGGTTCATACATGTAGGTAGATTTAACTGATTGAAATGAGATCACCAGTAAAAATTATGCCATCATATTCAGAACTCACTCCCTAGGCAAACAGAAAAAAGCTCGGAAATGCTAGATAATATACTTTTATTGAGCATTAGAAAAAATGGTTATCCTTGCACTAAAAGTAAGAATTCAAGTTAGAAAACAAAATGCAACATTTCTAGATTACTACATGTATATGTATACATCTATAACCCTGTTGCGTAAAATCTTTTGTATATCACTTGAACTGCATACATTCATTGTTTTTACCAATGTATTAGTAATGTTTTAAATATATTTAGTGACAATTAAAATACTTAGAAAGCTATTGTTTCATTTCTAACCTGTTTACGTATTCACTTCACAGTGATAATGGTGGTGGTCATATATGACATAATCAATCACAGAGTTTTAATCTATACATGTTAGCATGTGATGATTAGCAGTATAGAGATAGATTTTATGAACAGCGTTAATTACTTTAATATCGACTAAATAATCTCAGTCAGCACCGTGCGTAATATCAGTAAGCTGGTCTTTATATTAAACATTTTGCATAGTTCGATGAGTGTAAACTTCACCATTCACTGCTAACGTTAGTTTTAGTTTATTTCTTTGAGAAAAGAAAAATCTAATCAATTGCTATTTCACTTTTCATCTGTTCACACACACTCACAATATCATATGTAACGTGTACAATACCGTTAAATTCTAATTAGTCCAAAGGCTAAATAAAAGTTTTATATTTATATTTGGTAATTCTATGCAAGATTCCTACATAACAATAGCTCCCATTTTATGATTTATTTAATGCTTTTAGTTTGCGGTATGCAATTGAGGAGATTGTTGAACTGATTTAGGTTTGACAACCATTGAAATCTGGAAGTACTGGACAGCCATTTTTTTAGTGTGGGGCTCCTCGACAATGTACATCCACGACTCTGCACATGGAAATCAAACCCAGGACCTTCGATCTTTTTAAAATTTTGTTTGAGGTTCGTCATTGTGAAATAATAGTGAGCTCGTGAAAACTATAACTATCCAATGACTACATTTCAAACACCAGTAGCTAGTTGGTAATAGTCACTTGTTCAAAACTTTACACGCTGCATGGTATAAAAAAATAGTATGATATCATGGTTCTGTATGTTTGTATCATTTCTTAACCTTGAACGTGTATATTCATATGGTCCATGAACAACAAATTCATGATAGGAACGTTATTGGGTTGCTCAGATTGCGAAATTTAGACCAGTGTTGAAGCCTAGAAACATTGGATGGCCATCTCATTTTGATGTGGTGCTTCTCAACAATGATAAATTCACGTTCCCCTCGTGGAAAGCGAACCCAATATCATTGGGTTAGACTACTGAGCTGTCATCGAACGGTGTTAATGAATAAAAATCTTTGAAAACTCTTATCGACAGTTATCATTTGCTCACTGGCGACTGGCTTCGAGAGGAAATTCCCAGAGTTCTAGTGAGAAACCGCGAATAGTGGGGTCAAACCATGTTGGATGTGATACAGTTACTCACTGAAGACTATGGAATGATTGAAGCTGAACATCAAAAACGTTAAATGAGCGTCTACTCAATGGTCTAGACGTTAGGTGTTCGTGCGCGCGGTCAAATATCCCGGGTTCTAGCTTCACATGGGTTTGTATTGTTGACGGATCCCACGCCAAATCGAAACTACCGTCCTATGCTTTCAGGTTTTCAGTAGTGGTCTAACATTAAACGGTTCGTGATTTCAATAAATACTTATTCCTTAAAATCCCTCTAATTTCGATTGATCAGTTTCACGCGTATCTGATCATTATTTACACTGATTGAATTTATCGTATAGATAGAATAACGGTAATTTCTTATAGTATATAAAATTAAAATAAAATAAATTATAGACTTATACGATCACTTACTATCATTTAGTAGTTGTTTGAGAGACCTGATTGTTAAGTTGTTTATATTCTTAAAAACGTGTAGTCGATAACCACGTAGGTTTTCTTAAGAGTTATATGTAACTCGGTAACTGGATTTATCTTTGTGTATCCGAAATTAAGTTATACTTTATATGTGATCAGTGACGATTTTATTCTTCTATCAAGACCAAAACAGATTAAACTCATTTTATATGAAAATTATATTTGAAATAATCTCAGCGATTGAAATTTAAATAATTCCAATGTTTCATCCAGCTAACTTGATTTGATTGTTAAAACGCTATATATTTCTTTGATGATTTTGATTTTTACCCTGAAGAAGCCCAGACAAGTTAGGTGGATGAAACGTTTGAATTATTTGAATTTCAATCGCTGAGATTATTTTAAATATAATTTTCATATAAAATGTCTTCTCTATACTCGGCTTTCAATTTCTGTCAAACTATTCGTTCTAATCTTGACGAATATTCGTATAGATAGAACTCAGTTTGGACCTACTCTGTACTAGTCAAGCTGATCGATTGATTCGAACTATATAAGCAATTGATTTAAGTTGAAGCGTCTAAACTGGTTATGGATCATAACTTTACCTAATGTACTTAGAATATCTTACATATTCCTTACGCTCATTGGTTTTGATTACTAACAGTCTAATTAAAATAACAAATTTCGTGCTAGTTAGAGTATTTAGATTGTATAAATTACATAGAAAAACGACAATGCATTGACTTCACTTGTCTGGTCGTTCACCCTTTGTCAATTTCATAATTCTGTTTTTATGTATTTTGATTACTGATTCTTTTCTCTGTGTAATTTATAGCAGCTTAAATTGATGATATACAATTTATGCATTAGGTCAGATGTTGTTTAATACTTCTATCTGTTCTTTATTCAATATAATAATAATAATAACAATAGTAATAATAATAATAGTAATGATAATAATTATAATGTAAACAGACTTACCTTGCTGTACCAGTATATTTATTTTACGTTGACCTATTTCACGAAAACTATAAATCACATTGTTTCATTTTATTTTCATGAATAATCAGGTTAAATTGTAATTTATAGAAAAATATTTTTCATGAATTATTTCCTGATTTATTTCGATTATCCATTTCTCCATGTAGTCAGTGTTTGTTTTCTTTTCATCAATGAATACTCTAGTTGTATTCCAATGTTTAATTTACTTAGTCAAATTGTAACGCTGTTGATCAGTGATATATTTAAAATTGTAATAAAAAAACAGTGAACTGTGTCAGGGTTTTTTTCTCTATCTCTCTAATCTACGATGATTATTTAACGTTTAATCATTCAATTTTAATTGCGACCATTTTAAAACGATTATACTATTCATTAAGGCAGAATTTGTCGTTAATGTTTTCACTTCTCAACAAATGTGTTGTATTCACCGATTTCTATCATTATATTGTCTATTGAATGGGTAAGTGAGGGACATTTTCACTAAGGACTTTATTTCAACTCTTTTTCATAAATAAGTTCAGTGTCGCGCAGCCCATTATGTTGAATGATAAATGCAAACATAGTAAAGGTTAGACTTTTGAACAAAATTTTTAATGAAAATTACATGCTAATATGTTTCAAACATCCACTAAATGAATAGAAAACTGACTGTGAAAATGTTGGATACACATCATATTTATTGAACATTGAAGCTGACGGATAACCCTGGTCTTCATTCACATCATTGTATTTCTTAATATTAAGATATGAAGTTTTTAAAGTTTGTTCATTTTAAAGATAGTTTTCATCACAATTTATCTGTCTTCAGCTAAGGATTCATTTTAAATCATAAAGCATTTGATAAGTGTTTTATCTCAGTCGTACTCACCCACAACTCAATACAAAGTTAAACTCTTTACCATCATATCTCTTAATAAGTATAATAATTTTAGATGCCTTATTCGACTAAGTGATTTCACATGGTCATTAGCTTATTGGTGGTATTACTATATTATCTCTTTTTTATTTCGTTTTTTACTCCAGATATTTGGTGGTCGTTATTTTTATATTCATGCATACAAATCATTAACACATGGTATAGCAAATATGGATGTTTTAATTGTAATAGCTACAACGATTGCATATTTATATTCTGTCGTTATTTTATTAATTGCAATATTGAATCGCTGGCAGCATAGTCCACGTACTGTATTTGAAACATCACCAATGTTACTCGTGTTTGTTTCATTAGGTCGTTGGTTAGAGCATATTGCAAAGGTAAAACATTGCTTCTTTTTTTACCTGTATGATGTATTCGTTTTACTCAAATTTTTTGAACCATAAATGTGCATTTAATAAAATTATTGTTGTTGTGGGCGGGGTACATTTGTCAACTCTTTGATTTATCTATCTATCAATCTTGACATGCTTTTACTATACTTCAATATGTATAGGTTTTATTTTAAATCTACCATAGTGGGGCTAGTCATAAGTTTAACTCGTTTACAAAGCTTATTTGTTCATTAACTCAGCTTTGAACCATACTGTATGTATGTGTAAGAGGGTAGTCATGCTACCATTCATCTAAAGTTCATGGATGAAACATAAAATTAAGGTAGTAGGTTAAAAGTCTCAACAACCATACTTAAAAATCCCCTAAGAAAACCACCTGCCTCAGTTTGGGCGCCCAGGCAATACTTCAACTTTCACACAAATTGAACGATGAAGTGTGGCTCACACATATTTGGTTCCTCCTTGTACCTATGTTTATGTATTTAAATAAATAAAAGCACTCATAAGATGTATCATTTATGCTTAGAACATATTAAAACAGTCAGCTTATTTCCGAAAAATTCTAGAATCCGACATGAGAAGGATCTTGTCGGTTGATCTAGTTGATCAAACATGCAATGTCCATTAAGCATAAAATCGTTTTTCAGTTTTTAGAAATCCAAGATCACTCATATTCATATGATAAAAAATCATTGCTTTCTGTTGTATTGAGCCCATATTTATTTATTTGAACATATAAACATTGGTACAAGAGGGCAACAAAATGTGTATGCGCCACACAATAAAAGCAAGTTTATGAAGAAGTAGAAAAAGTAAAGTGAGTATAATAAAAAGGAACAATAATCAATAGAAATTAGTGTATGAAAGTGAAATAGTAATAATAAAAAAATCGGAGAAGCAGTCCTGTTAGAAAGAATACAATCAGAAAGAATGCGGTTAGTTAAGGAAGTTACATTCACTTTTATTTAACGAGTAAAAGAAAGTTACAGCAGGATCGCGACTGGTTTCTTTTCTGAGCTATTTCTTATAACTTTTCAAACCACGGTGTGGGACTATCTCTAGAACCTTAACCATGGAGTCGTGAACGACCAATAGAACCCATTACTGTACAGTTTTCTTTCGTACCACGACATCATATCATACACTGATCACCTCTCCGCTTTTCCCAACTAGTCTCAGAGTCGGGAAACAATACACGACGTGCAATTCTCTGGGGCGACATTCGTAGGACATGTCCTAGCCACCGAAGTCGATGTTTCATGATGGTGACACCAATTGAATTATCACCTCTGTGCCCAAACATGTGTTGCCGATTTTCTGCATTACTAACATTGGTTGCCACTGGATGTTAGCAATCAGTCAGAGATAACGATAACCAAACGCAGAGAATCGTATAACATCCTCAATTTGGAAATGCCAGTTTTCACAAGCATTGAGCAAGACTGCTCTTACTGACGCATTGTAGATTCGACCTTTTACAACTATATTAGCGTCACCACATATGACTCACATTGACATACGTCGCAGACGTATTTATAGGCAAAAATCACAGATTATGGTATAAAAACCAAAACAAAGCTAGAAGCCACTGATATCCCATTATTCGGTGTACAGGACAAGAATTGGGGTCGTTCATACGGCTTAAATCACCACATCTCACATATTTCAATCTAAACTACTTTATCGTTACATAAATATATGCATAATCTCTGTACATATTCGTTTGATTTTCTGACGATGTTTTATCCAACACCTCATGATCTCTATCTCGCATTAGTAGAAAAGTTAGATATTAAGAGAGTGTCCACTATTAGTCAATTAAATCGGATTGACTGATCATGCCACTAGTATTTTTTGAGATTTACAATTTTTCTTTATTATTCATCGCCTAATATTATCTTTTCAATGTTTAATACTTATTATTATTTGATAATTATTAGGGGAAAACATCCGAAGCGCTTACTAAATTACTCTCCTTACATGCCAAAGAAGCTACTCTTATTGACTTATCACCAACAGAAAAACAGAAATTAGAAGATACCTTACAACAGCAAACAAAAAATTTACCGACAAATTTATTTACTAGTGGAATTGAAAAACGTATCCCAATTGAATTGGTTCATCAAAACGATATCATCAAAGTAATTATAATGTGTCTTTTTTGCATTGATTGTTTTATCATGAAAAGTCTAGTAATCAAATGTGATAGATGTATATGAAAATGAGGACTCAGCTTTTATTATATGTAACCTTGTTAATGCTGTGCTGTGTTTGATTTCGATATTGATATGGAAGCTTTCTGTACATGAGCCCCAACCAATGGTGCACATGGGCTCCAGTATCCTGAAGGAACAAATGGCGTATGAACCAATCGTTGGTCACCGGCTACCATGGGACTGCATCTCCTCACGATGCTCCATTGCCTTGTGGATCAGATCTTCAGGTCAAAGGCTCAGGGTGTGGCCCCCTAAGAAAAACACCTGTTTCGGTTTGGTCACCCGGGAAGTATCACAGCCGTCACACATATCCAATGAGATCTGTGTGGCGCATATGTTTTTGGTACCCTCTTGTACCGATATCTATGTGTTAAAATAAATAAATAAATATACATGAGCCCAAGTGGCTACTCGAGTGAAAGTTGTGAGGATGAGAAGGAAATTTATTCACTAAATCGAATCGAGAGCGTATGCACGTTGATTTGTATCTGTCTGTCACTTTGACAGTAAAGCCACCAATACTAAATGTCTTATTCTCTATAAGTGCAAGCTATTTATTGACGCATCGCCTGTGCTTAAAACTTCACCGATATCTTATTGCCCCACTCTATCGAACTTCTCTTTTACTGTTATTGGAGATGGTGAAAGGTGATATTGCTTAACTGGTCTCATTGATCATCTTTACGGATGAAGATCCGACGTATTTTAAATTATGATCTTGATAAATATAATCCTAGTGAGGCGTGTTCTCATTACTTCAGTGACATGATATTTTATCAGCTATATATATATATATATATATATATATATATATATATATATATATATATATATATATATATATATATATATATATATAATCACAACGCCAATGCACCTAAATCTAAAAGTTTCCTCGTTGTCTCTATTTTGTTGTTCCTAAGCTCCAGATAAGCTTAGGGTTATTGTGAGGTTTATTATGTTAGATTCTATGTTAGTCAAATAGGTTTATCTTTGATTATCACCACAGGATTTCTGTCCTTTTTGTAAGCCGGTACGATCAACAATCTAGACTGATCAAAGGTGTTTGCGTTCATTTCCCAAATCTGGACCCTCTCTCTAAAGATCTCTGGAGTCCATCTATCACAACGTTCTTGGATGAATTGTTAGATAAACACAAACATACGCATTTGTAAATAATAGGTTCTGTGTTTTCATTTGTTGTTATTTATTATTTATTTGAACACATAAATATTGGTACAAGGGGACACCAAATATATATGCGCCACACAAAACAATGAGAATTTAAGGAAAGGGAAAAAAAAGTAATGAACGTAGGGAGTTATAAAAAAAAGAGAGAACAATAATGAGGAAACGGAAGGTACAATCGGAAGAAATCTTTCAGTTAAGGAGAGAGCAGCCACTCTTTACGAAGAAATTAAAAGGTTACAGCACGATCGCCACTGGCTTCTATTCTGAGCCATATCTGATAACGTCTCTAGCCACTATGTTACACCAATTCTCGGACCCCAGCCAGGGAGTCGTGAAGGACCAACACAAGCCAGCCCTTTGCAGCTTTCTTTCATACCACGACACCATGTCATACACTGACCACCTCTCCGCTTTTTCCAACCAGTCCCAGAGTCGGCAAATAATGCACGACGAGGAATTCTCTGGGACGACATTCGTAGAACATGTCCAAGCCACCGAAGTCGGTGTTTCAAGATGTTGACATCAGTGGAATTATCGTCTCTGTGCCCGGACACACGATGCCGAACCTCTGCATTACTGACATGGTGTTGCCACTGGATGCCAGCAATCCTTCGGAGACAACGATGATCGAACACAGAGAGTCGTCTAACATCCTCAACTCGGAGAGGCCAGGTTTCACAAGCATAGTGCTTAGTGCGACACCAACGCCAGCAAGACCAGATGAGGATGTCATAGTGTCCCCGGATAAACGCACGTAAAACAAGCTTTTTGAAGTGACAGATGGAGAGCGAATTTGTAGTACTTCACCAGAGTCTTGAATACGGGTCTCGGATAGACAGCAAACGTCGATATTAAGACTTTCCAAAGACATAGCCAGCCCTATCTGTTGTCCGACCTGCATAAGTGTGCGAACGTTGAAGGGAGTCAGTTTGAATGGTGCACGTGGTTTCAGAAAAACTGCTTCAGTACTCGTATTCGGTGGTAGCATACAATTTTCAACCAGGCAGTGACTCGAGAACGTTTAGATAGAGCCTGATTTCCACCATAGGCGAGCTGCTGTACAAGTCGAAAAATAAGGATAGATAGAGTGGGAATAAATGAGAGTGAATAAATTACCTGGTAAATAATAATAATAGTGCTAGTCGTTTCATTATAAATCGGAGCAAAATGAATATTTTCCATAAGTAAATAGTTCATCATGTTTTAGTGTGTGGGCTGAGATACTGCCCGGGTGCTCGGACCGAAGCAGGTGGTTTTCTTAGGAGGCCACACCCCAAGTCTTTGACCTAAAGGTCTAACCCACTAGGCAGTGGAGCATCGTGAGGAGATGCAGTACCATGGAAGCCGGTGACCAAGAAATTGGTTCATACGCCATTTGTTCCTTCAGGGTACTGGAGTTCATGTGCACCATTGAATTGGGATCCGGTTATAGCGCCGGACATTCGCTTTTCGTCCTCTCATTTTCGTAAACAACAGTAATGCCACGAGAAGGCAGTGAGTAGGACTTCCCTGACAGAGGCTGTTTACGCGTGGCCGTGTGAGAGTATTTCGAGAGGGAGGCCGAACCCACCCCACTCTCGGCCATACCAGGGCATTTGGGGGCCTTTCATTTGTTGAACCATTAAAAATCTCGAGGCCATGCAGCATTTGTTCGTGGTAGATAAGTACTTGGAGTCAATTTAGAATAAAATACAACCATCATTTTCATCGCTCAGTAATATTAGTATCCACTCTGTCATATATGACGGTACAGTTGTCTCCGAAATCGTATGGTTCCTGGATTCCACCTCGTGTAAACACTTCTGATAGGTTTACAAACGAGTACAAGACACCTGCTTAGCACCCACCTATTGTTCTTCCTATCGGATATGAGTTTTTAATGAAAGTTACTTTCAATTTATCCCCAAAATTTTCACTTAACCACACTTATTATGTTACAGTTTGTTTGTATTTATGTGTTTCAATATCTTGCTTACTTATGCCTGTTACCCCTCGTGGAGAAACCTAGACCGCCCACCAGGATTCTCCACCCAACTCCGTCCGGGACAAACCTTTCCAGTTGTTCCCAAATGCCATTTCCCCCTTTTATGTCTGCTTTCGATTCCCGGCGCAATGTATTCCTTGGTCTCCCTGTTTTCCGTTTCCATTCAAGATTTGAAGTTAGCGTTTGCCTCGTGATACAGTATGATGATTTCCACCACGAATGTCCTATTCACCTCCATCGTCTTTTCCTGATTTCATCTTCAATTGGAAGTCGGCTTGTTCTCACCTACAGTAGGTTGTTACTGATAGTATCCGGACAATGGATATGGAGTGTCTTGTGTACCAGTTTGATGATGGCTGTGGTAGTTCTCGATGTTTCAGCTCTGTATTGTAGAACTGTCTTGACGTTCATATTGAAGATTGTGACTTGGACATTGGTTGACAGTTGTATTGTGTTCCGTATGATCTTCAACTGTATGAATGCGGCTCTTGTTTGACCAATTCACAAATTTGCGTCTGCATCAGATCCTCCTTCATGGATGTTGTTCCCCAGACACTTGAAAGTTTCCACCTCTTCCAGAGCTTTTCCACCGAGCGTGATTGGATTGATGTTCTTTTTGTTGTATTTGGAGATCTTGCCTTATCTCCTGTGTATGTTGAGGCTTACTGATGCAGAGGCTGTTGCTACACTATAGGTATCATTACCAAGGTTTGATTTGATAATTTCGAATAAATTGAGCATTGGGTTGATTGTTATAAATAAATAATATATTTGTAATATCCCAATGAGTAGAAAATTAGATTTTCTGACGTTTCGTGGCTTAGTGTAAGTCACTTCTTCAGAGAATAAATAACCAAATTAAAATTAATCCAAGTTTAAATAGTACAACGGAACAATACAAGAATAATGTTTGATCAATCAAAAAACAGATATGAACAAGTTGATGTCATGTCATGACATACCTGCTTCGGTTTTGGCACCCGGGCAGTATCACAGCCCTCACACATATCAATTGAGATTTGTGTGGCGCATATGTATTTGGTCCGTCTTTGTACCAATACTTGTATGTTAAAATAAATAAATAAATGACATGACATCAACTTGTTCATATCTGTTTTTTGATTGATCAAATATTATTCTTGTATTGTTGCTACACTTGTTGTCTTCATCTTTATTTGTTCATGTGTATGGAATAGAAGGGTCAAGTCATCTACGAAGTCCAAATCGTCTAATTGCATTCAAACTGGCAATTTCATTATCTAATTGAGTATAATTTAGCAGTTATCTTTCCTTGAAAAAATGTATCATTCATTCCAGCTTCATATTTTACTTCTTTCGTGATTAAAATTCATCATTACAAATCAACAAGTTCATCCAGTATATAAGGTCAATCTTATTCCGACTACTTATGATCCGAATCTTGTGTCGTTTGTACTATAGAAAAATACTTAGAGATAAAAATTGTTAAAATATAGTGAGACAGTTTATAGTTTCATTACAACAATGGATCATGTATTTGATTGATATATATCTTTATATGACAGTTTCATTGACATTCTTATTAGTTCAATCACATCAAGGTGTGTTCTGTTGTAGTATGCATAGTTGTTTTTCTACGTCACATGTTGGAAACCACTTTGATCGATTTATTACGTACACGGTACCTAATACGTGTAAAAATTCAAATTGTACTAGGAAGTTTCTTTGTTATCACAGCTCCACAATAATATTTTATAGGTTTTACAATTAAATATATAAAAAACAAACAAACGTTAATTCTATCAAAGAACCGGTTGTGAATCAACTAACAATATTTTCTTGAATTCGATATTCTATTTATAAAGATTGTAGTCGTTACCATTCATATATTATCAGATTTTTTAATGATATCTTTCAATTGTCTGATTCCACTTGGAAGAAAAAAAAGTGTATTGTCTATACCGTTGTTTGTTTGATTGTAATATTCAATTTAGTTGATATTTAGAAATATTTTAGCTGAATGAAAGTGTGTTGAAGAGTTAACTCTATGAATGAATTAGTCCAAATGAATTTACAAATTCTTGATGAGTTAGTTTTGTAAATTCAACTAGTTACGTCTTTGATCTGTCTACCCGATAATATGCAGGAAAAAACGTGTCTCGTTCTAGATTAACGCCTTGACACGATAGGCTAATTGGTTCAATCTTGAGACCAGAAATGCGTGAGTCCGAACCGTGACTAACTGCCTTGGTCAGAGAGACGAATTCTATACTATCATTTGATTTGTTGACAAGAGAGAAAGAACACTGGTCAACTGAAACACTACTCGATTTATTCTCGATTCCGATTCGGTTCCAATTCAGATTAGTGCAGAAAGATAAATGAATAAATATATGACTAACATGACCATAACGCACAAACAATTATAAAAATTCAATTATGTCGAAACTGGGCATTAGGGTAGAGTACCAAAGTTTATGTTTAAATTACAATAGCTCCGGAACACGAAAGGGTATGGTAATAAATCACGCATCAAACGAGAGCTTATGGTTTATAGAATATACCGGGGCAGTACTTAATATCAGTATTCTTCAAACTTTGAATTAAGTGAAATAACCTCCCCAAAGATAGCTTACGTTATTTGTCATGGCTTCTTTGTTCATATCACAACTCCACTGTTTTTTCTTATTTTTCATTGTCTGAATAATGAAATTACTCTTTTTACACTGATAAAATTTCAGGAGAAGAAAAATGAAATATCATATTCATCTGCTATTTAAGTGTAGTTTTAAATGATTAGAGTAATCAACCGATTCAATATGATTTTCTTAAGAATTTTCCTCTTCGTTTCTATATATGCATTATGAAAGTAAGATTTACTTCCAGATATGATTGTCTACATCGAATTACATATTACAGGGTCCGTATTCAGTGACTGCATCGAAAAGTTTTAATTGGTGTTATAAACTAACGGTACCAGATTTTGGGAAGGAAATATAATTCGCTGAATTGTATGATACCCAACTCCATGTGTTACGTATGCCTGAACACCGATTATCACGACGCGCAATTCTGATTAGTGTTGAGGATGGTTGAAAGAAAGTTAGGGGCGGCCAAACCAAAACGTGGCATCAGTGCTTGAAGACACTAACTTCTGGTCTTAATCATGTTGGTAGATGCAGCCTACTTGGTTGAAGTCCAAGCGACTAACGTAACCAATGGTTGTGGAGACTCTTAATGACATCGCTCAGAATCTTTCACATTGGCGTAGGTGTATACACTCTTTGTCTTCCCTTTAACTGAGAGATTAAAATCGCTTCATATCTTTCTTTCTACGAACTAATTCTTTCTTCCTGTACTATCTCCATATACACAATCTTTCTTCTATATATATTACCACCACTGAATTAACTACTTCTATGAATTCGGTGTACATCTTGCTGTGCTAATGCAGTGTGGCAACTAATATTGATGCATATATGTGCCTGGTCCTACGTTGCAGCTGACTGACATGATACCCAACTAGAGAGTAGAATATAAATTGATGCTTTCACTCAATAATTAAAACGTTTTCCATCTACACTATTAATGTCGGTTGAAAAACGTTTCCGTAGGCGAAATTATTATTATTCCGTGGGATATTTTTCTAACATAATTTCACCTCATATCTTGTTTTTTTATTTAATATTTATGCAAAAAGATTCTTCCGGGTGAAAAAGTTCCTGTCGATTCGCTCATTTTAATTGGATCCACATCATGTGATGAATCGTTGATTACCGGAGAAAGTATGCCAGTTGTAAAAAAACCAGGTTTGTTGATTGATTTGATAAATTAATTTAGTGTAAATTCTGAGTCAAATTTCCCCCCCCCCCAAAAAAATAAATAAATAAATAAAATATTTAATGGTAATATAGATGAGATTTTCTGTCTTCTGGTTTGTTTTCCATGCACTTCTATGATGATTTAATCCCAATACCTGATTGTTATTTTCGTTCCCTTTCTCATTCATGAATATAAATGTTGTATATATAAATGCATACTTTCATATGTAAATTTCGTTTTTTTAATTTCTGTACGTCATTACTTGTTTATCCATCGGAAAGATTCATTCAAATAGAAATATAAGTATGTTGTAAAAATTGTTTATTTGGTGGTTTGTCTTGTAAATATGTTTATTTCCTTTGTATTTTTCATTGGTCTTTGGTTTCCTTTTCTTCGTTTGCATTTATGTATATGTGTGTGTGCATGAGGAGATGGGATTGCTTTATTAATTGTCATTTGGTTTTCGGGGATTTTTGATTTTTTTTCTTCAGAATTTGAAAGTGATGACAGTTTCAGACGTGGGTCATCTAATTAGCTACGGATCATTTGGGTTTACTGTTAAAACAGCACATATAAGCTGATAATATTGTTTAATTTTAATCAAGCTTTATTATAGTATATGGCAATATCGATATCCACATGTATACATATATGTGATAAATCCAAAATCAATCAAGTCATTTTGTGAATTAATGATAAAGATGAAAAAAGATTACATAATTAATCACAATGAATGTAAATTACAAATTATGACAATGTAAGACAATGATGAATGTATGTGCAGTAGTGATAAGATTTATAACAGTTTGAATAAATACTTCAAAAAATGAAAAAATAAACTTGGTAAAATAATAATGATAATTCAGATTTATAACTGTCCAACCTGAGTAGGTGGATTCATTGAAAAGAGTATTTTTTGCTCATATATCTTTGATGTGAATTTAATAGACAGTTGAAAATAGTAATCGTTAGTGTACATAATACGAGATTGTGAATAATCAGTTTGAGCATATAGATAGTTGAAAAAAGTATAAAAGAATTGAATAGAAATGAATAAAATTGACAGATTTAGCAAAATCTCCTATTAGGTCTTCTCTGATCAAGAAATGTACAAATATGGTACACATTTCTTTTATGAATATAAGAACTGCGGTAGTTAACTCGAATCCATATAACTTCCTTCATATGTAAGAGACAAGATCGAACCCCACTACTGATACATTAATCATTCTACTACGAAGTTTTACTGTATCCCTTTTTCACTGTCATCACTGATTTATGAATTCCCTTGATTTAAAAATTTTCTGATAAATATATGGTCGAAATTGATATTGTTTGCTCTTATGTGTATTTTTGATTTACACGATGGCAATTTCTAATATTTCTAAAGTGTTTTGTACTTAATAATAACAATAATAAGCAAATAGATGCTAGTGACTAGATACAAAATGGATAACTCAAAGTTTTTGCATCACGTACGTAGGAATGGATTTGCTATTGTTTGTCATGGTGTGATGTTTATTTCTTAATCATTTCAGTCTATGGATATTTCTTGTTTACGTATTCATTAAATAGAAAAAGACAATTGGTTATTTGGAAAGTAATATTTTGCACACTATGACAATTACTTATAGGTGAAATGATAAATGAGATATGTTGGCGGGCACTTGCTTTTAATCAAACTTCGGCTTCACCTTCAAAGTAAATAGATATGCTATTGGTTAGAAATGTAGTTTAATTTCATGAGGGACAGGTGTGGATATTTAAAAATATGCCGTACAATTATTTTCAACTCCGTCAGCCAACAAAAGCCACCTACTTGTGGCTTTTTCACCCAAGTATCTGATTTGGGCTTGTATATAGAAAGTTTATATATATATATATATATATATATATATATATATATATATATATATATATATATATATATATATATATATATATATTCGTGAACTATTTGATTTTAACAAGGCTGTAGCGCTGACCTTAGTTTGACGCTCTTCACCAGTGAGCACCTCAGCATGGCTCCGATATAGAGCATGTAACTCTCTACCCAACTTCAGTTAATGTGCTGTTTAAAGAGTTTTAGCTCGTATAAATCAATCTTTTTGATCATTAACCAAGTGGTATTAAAACCACTAAGTAATAATAATTATTATTACACTAGCACGATTTTGATCATTGCAATTAGTTATTTTTTTCACTTAGTATGGGTTTAGATTTGTTTTGTCACATCTTCGCACTGTTTTCTAGTTTTGCGGTTTCTTCACTCGATTATTTCCATATACCTTAGTTACTATTTTACCTATTATCTGTTTGTCTGTGTGTACAAAAAGGAAAAAAAGAATTAGTTATAATACGAAGTTATTTTTATTTTAAATAAAATGTGTTGTATAAATATATAGACTTTTCGGTAGGTGATTCCGATTGTTTAATAAGTGATGGTGGAATCCAACACATTTAGCTTGTGATAACGTTTTACTGAGAGAGTTGAAGTGCGATCAATCTGCTTCTGAATTTCCAATTCTATTGAGTAGCTTAAAGGGGAAACGCGTTAGCGTCTGAAGCGATGTATGTAATGGGGTCAATTCTTGGTGAGAACACGTCAATACTGGAATGGTGCTGCATCTAGCTGATCTTTCCCAAATAGAACGAAGTAAACGTCCTAGATTCTACTTCTAGTCGTAATCTAAATTTACCAAATACTTATAACTAATTGACAAAAACTGAATTATGAATAATTCTTCACATCAACAGAAAAATACTAACTTACAGCGAGTGTTGATATTATAAACTGAATTTAGTATGATAGTATTTTTGTTTCAAGTTTTACTATATTTCATCATTTTCATTTACTTGATGCATAATTATTTAAAATATACATATACACATAGTGTACTGGCACAACTTCTAAAGGAATAACAGTTTGAGACGCATGTTTCCAATCTCACTCCATTCTGCTTTGACTTTTCTGAGCTAATTAATATCATTAGTCCCTTACGTAGAAGAGAGGTAGTACATAAAACCAACCAATATGGATCTATACTACATTCTAATGAATCATTGAACGATAAGAAACAAAGAAATATTGTTCACTGATATTTGCTTAACTTTTGTTCTTAGTCTATTTGTTAAATGCCTAACTCGTTCTAATTCAAAAATGATTAATCACGATCAAATAAATAATGACTCATTATGTTTTGTTATAAATCCGTATGTATTTTAAAATAGTGATAATCGTTACGATAAAATATGTATTACCTATTTGCTTGATCTGGTAATCAAGCTACCTGACATCCTAATTCTCAGTTATTTGTACGCTAGTTTGTTCAAACTTCACGGTGGTAAATGCAATTATTATTTATTACATTTTTTTCAAAGATGAAATCCATATGAAAAGTGAGAGTAATTTTATGGATTTAGTCTAATTTTTGCTGAACGGAAGGGGGTGGGTTACTAAATTCGTAACAAGTTATTATTTATAGCGGTGTGTGGAATAAACCGTAATTGTGCATTTAAATAAAATGTTTTAAATTTTATAAATTAAAACATGATTATATACTCCAATACTTATCATATTTTACATGCTTTCTTCAATTTACTACTTATGCAAACATATTTCATTTAAATGATGTACAATTGTACAAAACAATTCCTAAAGGGGGTATGTCTAGTAGTAGTAATTCACAATATGGTCTGGTTTGGTTTTTTTATTTCAAGATTCCATAACCATTGTTGACATTCTTATTAATGGCTAACAGCAAAGTCGTGAAAGTCCATTTCGTTCTATTCATAACTCCTTTACTGTATGAAATTGTATCTCAGCATTGACGTTCACATTGAAACTCTAACCTAATTCAATCATGGTTGTTCATATGGTGAAACATAGAAACAAAGTTATCGTTAGTCCAATATATGCAACCTAAATATTATCACCTTGACGTTAGTTATGGTCGTAAATTAGGACAAATTAAACTGTTGCAGTTATCTGTGAAAATCTTCTTAAGAACGTTTTGCATATCAATTTAATACAGTTTATCTGAATCATACTGATAACTTTTTTTCTCTGTGTGTATATAGGATCAGATTTGATTGGTGGTTCTATCAATCTAGCTAGTATTGTATGGGCCAAAGCAACTCATGTCGGTGAGGATTCAGCCTTGTCTCAAATCGTTCGTCTTGTTGAAGAGGCACAAACTTCGAAAGTTGGTTTTTTGTTAGATTATCTTGCGAAAAAAATGACCACTTTTATTTGTTTGTTCATAATTAGGCAACACTAAATTTTTATCTGTAAAAGTTTTATTTTTATTCGGCAGTAGCTTAGTTTACGGGTTTCCATGACCTTTTCTCTCATATTTAGTTTACATTTATGCATTTTATTATTTTTTTATCAACTTCCAATGAACACTTGCATCTTGATAGGGTGTTTCACTCCAATTGGGGTAATTGAAGTGTCGTTAACTTTCATACAAAACGTATATTCAAACTCAATGTACAAATATATTTTGAAAAGATCAAGAACAAACATTCTAGCAGAATAGCATGAATTCATTTTTATTTCGTTGGTTCTCGTCAGCTACAGAATATGTATTTGGTTATTGAGTTGCATTAGAATTTTATTAGATAACAAATTTCACCCATCAATCAGTTGAGATGAATTTATTGATGTTATTTGGTTTCTGCCCTGTTTTGAACGACAGCAAACTTATTCTACAGAATTAGGTAGTCACTAGGAAACATGATATTAGTAGCTACTTATCAGTGACTGATTAGTGTATCTATTAATTTTCTGAAAAAAGTTATTTGTATTCAAAAACTATTCAGTAGTCATTTGTATATATAATAGTGGACGTGATAAAACACTAGAGCAGTTGATAATATGGTGCATTTAAAATCGTGACTAAGTTTCAACTTCAGTGGATAATTCTGGCATGTGATAGAACACAGTGCAATCGAGATATTTGTCCTCAGAAAAGTACGAAACTCCTCGTGTACTTTTATAATCCATTTAGGAAAGCATATTCTTGAGTCAACACATTTTTTTAGTTTGTGACCCAGAGAATGACCAATTTAATCAAATCGACTGCGGAATTTGATTAAGTTAGTAATCGGAAATTAAAATATGACAAGCACGTCACTCTTCTAGTAAACCTGTATGGTTTCTGATCATATTTTTTATATAAATCACTTGTAATAGGTATATAAATTTTCTCTATCTGTTTACCTTTCGTTGTAGGCACCAGTACAACAGCTTGCAGACAAGATTGCTGGTTATTTTGTTCCATTTATTTGTTTAGTGTCATTGACAGTTTTTATTTTATGGATCACTTTAGGCTTCTTGGTACCAACAACCATAAAAGGCTATGAAGTAAGTTGTTGTCCATTTTCTGTAAATGTTTATTGCTCGAAGTTTTCTTAAACCAGATTTTACGTTTTCCCGACCATTGTAATTACTCATTGTCGTTGTTGAAAGAAATATAGATACGTTGGGCATGTGCTCATTTACTTTTATAGCTTTCAGCTGAAATGGAACTTACAACAATGAATTCGACCCAATTTCCTGTGTTTTCTTCGTTAAATTTTCACGATTGTATAATGGCATGAATATACAACGTTCGCCTGGCTTTGGGTCGGTCTTTGACCTGAAAAATGTGTTTATCTATTTATAATTGAGCAATTATACTTCCTGGTGGTTCTATTTGCATTAGATTATTCCTATTAAATATTACCTATGAAGGTAGAGAACATACACATTTTGTCAGTATTCGATTGTGTATGCAGGTCACATGTTTAAATAAGCTGTTGAACTGATTCGGTGGGGAGATGAGACGCCTGACCTTGGCTGGTTAACCAATTCACTTATTAATAATAGCCCGTTAATATTTGCATGTCATACTAATTATGTGGTCGTATGACAGCATGTGATCGATCCGGGGTACCACTCAGTTACATCACTTTGTGACTCTGCTTTTGTTGGAAATCACACACGAACTGATCTTCATTTAATATTATCGTTCATTCTGCACTAGAGTTGTAGCTTTCTTAATTAGACACATAAGTTTTGATCAATAAGTTTTAGTTCCATTTTCTTCCTATCTACTTCACTGTAAAATTCCATATAAGGCCGTGTCATCACAACCACTGTCAACTGTTATCTTATCTTTAGTTCATTTACAACATCTTCATTTGGCGGTTTTTGTGACAAACCCTATACACTTACTTAAAATATGCAGAAAATTCCTTAAACTACATTGATTGTTAATTATTCATACAGTATTTTTCATTACCGTGCTGATTCAGAAAATGGCTATCTCTTCCGATCAATTACAGTTGCTATTTGAGTGACAACAGCAGCGTTTCAAAAAGGGCCAGTTGAATGTTTGAGACAATTTACGCACACGGCTGCTAAATCATCCATGTTTTGGAGATGTGACAGAAGTTGATCAATTAATTTCTAATTTACATACAGAGCTGGAAAATGACTGCAGAACGTATGGACGTGTCGATGAAAGCCTCCGTAAATTCTTGATAAGCGGTAATGTAACTGAAGTAGTAGCAGTCATTCATGATCAGCCCAGTGGCCCAGAAATGTCCATTTCAGAGACATGCCCTATCGTGGGTTCAAATCCCATTGCCCCCAAAACACCATGTACATACACTGACTTGTCCAGCTCACAGAAAGACGATGTCTTATTAAATGCTCATGAAATTATTGCAGTACCCGCCCACAAAGAAACAGAAAATAAATCAATCAGCATAATGAAGACAGTTGCATTGAATGGAGCTCATCGTTCTACGACAAAAGCTTCTGATGAATGTACTTATCGGGGTTCTCTAGTTGTTTTACTAGATATGAGTTATCTTAATGATTCACATGTTTTTGATCAAATTTCTCACAAAAGTGACAAAAATATGTCGCATGTATCAAATGATGATCAAGAACTTAATGGAATTTTGATAGATGTTGATTATCCTAGTGATCCATTATCTACTAGTGTGATTTTCAAGAAATTTGATGACAATTTTGCAGAAGAATCAAACCTTAATGACCTCATGTCAAGTGACATTGATCCTCACCATCTAGGCAGTTCTAGTAGGCTCTCTATTCAATGCGGGAAATATGTTTTAAATAGAATCACAATAACTGTAATTTGGGTATATGAGGACCGGACATTGTTTCGTGGGGGAGGATAAATTCATAAGATTTAATGATGGATCTAAACTTGGAGTCTTCAAAAAAAGAAGGGGAGGTGATGTGATGAAAAAAAAGTCAAAATTCGATTGATTTACTCATTATGAGTTTTGTTAGACATTACTTCCGTTTTGATTCGATGCGATGATCATTCGGTGTAGTATTTCTTTTCTTTTCTCGTATGATATTTTATTCTGTATAACATAACGATATTCTTGTATTCAGTTAACATAAACTATGCTCAGTATGTGATTTGTTATAACTTTAAGTATTTTTCATGTATGTGATTTAATCCAAATTATTAATCAAAATGGGTGTACACTTAGTATATAAATGAGTGTATTTTCGACTAAAGTCGTCGTCGTGGTGTTTTGAGGTTTAATAAATCTTCACTTATACCAGTCTTTGTGTTCTTACTGTCGCACCGTGGGAATTGCAAAGGTCCCTCGTTCCGAGTATAAGGGATAAGCGTTTCCGACACAACAATCAGCGACGACCCGATATAACAAGCAGCTTTCAACTGACAAGTTATAACAATTGGCGACGGGGATTTAGGAAAAATTTGACAAGTTGCAACACGTTATATTAATGATAATAAAGAAAATGATACACACAGGTAATATATGATTCAAAAAGATAGAATGAATTCACGGAATATAATAGTATGAGTTAATATCATATATACAGGGAAGATAAAAAAAATGTACAAATGTCTGCACCAGTGTGATGGGTTTTTGAACTACTCCGTTTACATTCTTCAACTATTCATAACAATTATTGTGTATAGATTAGTGGATTAGACTTTCAAATAAAAAAATACTTTGAACATCACAATATTATCTCAAATGTCTGATACATTAATTATGATATATGCTTTCATCTAGATTAACTCTGAATCTCATTTTTTCTTTGCATATATTTGTATGTGTTCATACGCACATAAATTTTTTCAATTTCAGCCTGGTTGTTCCATTCCCCTGTTAGCTATTGATCATGCGTTTCGTATGGCTATCACTGTATTAACCATAGCTTGTCCATGTGCTCTTGGCTTAGCCACACCAACAGCGGTGATGGTAGCTACCGGGACTGGTGCATTAGCTGGTATATTAATAAAAGGTGGTCAACCGTTAGAGAATATGCACAAAGTATGTCTAATTTATTGCATATTTCTGAATTCTCGAATATATATATGATAACTTCTATTTTACGTATACTGTATATGTATAAAAATTGAAATACAATTTTTCATAAGTCTACTGCTAATATCTTAAGTGGTTTACGACGTATAAAAGTTGATTTAGAATATCGCAGAACAATCATTGATTTTGAAAACATAATACAAATTATCTTTAAACATAGATTTTATGTTGATTAAATAACAGATATCAGTTCATGAACATAGCTCATAGTGATATCATCACCATCACAACATACAGTATTAATCCCGTCCGTAGTTGTTACGTCGTTGAGTGTTCAGATCTAACTTATGTTTTTTAGTCGTCTGGCAAATATTAATGAACTGGCTTTGCAAGAATAAACTTAATAGTTAGTTGGATATTAGTTTCAGTGCTTTTCATTCGAACTCCAATCACGGATTACACACCAGGAGTTTTTCCAAAGTGAAATATTCGACAAAAGGCTAGGACGATCAAGTCTTAAACATTATTTAGTGATTCGGATTAGAACCATTTCAATGAACTACATTGTCTGTTATCCCTCTCTCTTTTTCCCTATTCTTTTCAATAAGCAAGGTTATCATCGTAATGAACTGACTTAGTACTTGTGAAGTAAGCAAACCACTAACTGTAAGGGTAATATAGAGAGGAGTTTAAAACAACTACGATGAACTTTCAGTCAGTCCTCAGTCAATCAGAAAACAGATTTTGTAAATGAATAGTTTGTGGAAAATATACAATAGCGTTACAAAGTATAGTCGAATTTTGTATATTTAACGAGTTTATTTAAGTCGCCTATATGTTATTCTTTCCTTAAATCGGAAAAATGGTATTTAAATCTCCCCTTATAAGTTTAGAAAATCTGTCTTCTAAATATTTTACAAGGGCGAAAGTAGATTTTTAAAAGTCCTCATCTTGCTTTTGCTTAGGGATTTAGGGATAGAGTTCTCATGACAAATTGACATCAGCTTTAATGTAACAATTCTCTGTAGCTATATGGATAAACAAATTTTGTTCAACAATCTAAGAGGTACTATCTGATTAATTCGTCCATAAAATAAAGTCTCAAACAGTTTAAGTTTGTTTCAGAATTTCAGGACTTAGGGTTGATATTTAAGGATAATATCGATTCGTCTGTTACATACAATGTATAGGAAAAGAAGTAAGGATTCTATGTGTTTAATGTTATCATTTTTACTCTTTTGTACCAAAACATAATCTATTGTTATTTAAACACTATACATAAGTACTTTTACTGCTCGTTATGTGTGTCATACAGATTTTGCTTTGGAACCTAAAAGTCTCATTTTCGATTCCAATTGGTTTATTACTATACTTTTTAACAAATTTTTTGTCAAACTATACTGCTTATATATATAAATAATATTCTTGCATCGATCTTATATTCATCGGTGTACTTATTTTCTTAATTTCAGAATGTATTATATTAGCGTTGTTTGTTCCTTCTGTAAACCTTTTAGTTAACTACAATATTATTTGATAAAACTGGAACAATCACTCAAGGTCGACCACAAGTTATCCGTATTGTCATGTTTATACCACCTAGTGGTGAAATGGAGAGATTCACAGAAGTAGTAAGTACTCGTTGTGGTTTTTTTCCTTTTTATTATTTTATAAAACATGACAAAATGTGAATACATGAAGATTGTTTTTTTCATGGTTTGTGGGATGTGATCTTTGTTAAAAGTACCCTTGCTATATCGATCAATAATATATAATGGTCTTAATCCTAACTTTCACTTGTTATAGTTCCTTAAAAATCGACTCACTAAGAATTCCATCTTCAATTTAAATCACTAGTGAACACATGGTATTATTGTTCATATATCCTCCAACAGAATAGAAATTTCTTTAAGATAAAACTATGACATTGTCAATCTACAGTGATAGACAATGAAACATAAATTAATTTTATATTTTAAAGCAGAAAAAACAGCTGAATGATCTGGCCTTTACTGTGTAATAAGTAACGAATGTGTTTACATAAAATTGTCATATAATTCTTGTCATTTTTTGCTTGATTTCTTGAGTTACATTTATTCTTTAGGTAAATTTCACTGAATGTAAATAAAATACAGTTAATTTGCCATACATTCAATAACCTGTAAAATATATACTATCAATATAACCTTTTATCTGCTTACTCATTAAATGTTCTGTTAGGATGTGCACTGGTACATTCTTTTCCTTTGCTAAGCGTTAGTTCGAAGACTTTGTGAAGATAACCAATATATATTTTTTTAATGCGAAATTAGTGTCATGAACAAATATGAAAACCATACATCACATACATTATTTGTACATCTTCCTTCGGTTGTCTTTTATGTGCTTCATGATTCTTTCGATTCTGTCATAATGACAATTACTCTCTGTTTTAATTCCTGTTCACTTCAATTAAATCTTCTGCTACAGGCATTCCACTTCTGATTGGTGTTACACACTATTTATATCTGTCGACATGAGTAACATACGCCACGGTGCATTAGTTACGTAATGTCTGCTGAAGTAAATAGGATTTTTAATGTACGCTTATTTGTGGAGTTTTGTGTTTTCAAGCAATGATGATTGAATACTATGACATATTTTGATTATAATTGCTTTTTTAATGTTATGGTGTTTGACTTGTCTATTATAACAAACCAGACTCTCTACATTAGATTGAGAGATTGTTTGTTAGCCATCTTTTATGATAATAAGGTTTGTGAAATTCTGGGCCTGTTGATTATAATTTCGATTTTACTCAAGAATTATCAGTAGCGTCTTCAACAATGCGCTACCTATTTCTCACAATGGCAAGAAAGTAATAGAGAGTTACTACTTTTGTCCCATGAGTTTTTACACTCAATGATATTCTTTGTTTTTTTTCTGAAATTTTCAATGATTAATATATATTCTCAATATTTAATCTTTCTCATTATCATTTATTCTACAATACAAAATATATTATATCAATTACAATTATTTGGCTTGTGATATCCATCGATAACCATCAATTGCTCATAAATCACTTTAAAGTCTTTCGTTTGTGCTTGTGTGTGTTGTTAGTAATGTAAATTACTAGTAAACTGGGTAAAGCAAAAGAACAAACTCTGGTAATCAATACTTACTAGAATGAATTAGCACGGACCTGTTTAGTTACATGTTTATTATTCATCTGCTTACGTGCATATGCACCTATATTAAAGATTAACTTGAACTGTATATGTGACAATTGATGAATATATCATCGCCGACAATGTTATATATTGATTTGCTTAAATTACAATTTACATAGTTTTATTTAAGTAATTTATATTTGCATTTTAGTTTAGTTTTAATGTTAATACTTATTATGGATTAACTAACATCCAACTAGATAAAAACTGGGATCAACTGTTTGTATTCGTAAAACTATTCACACTTTTTACTATTGCATTTTGTCTCTTTGAAAAGATTTACACTCAATTTTGTTTATGAGCTTTCAGTTGAAAAGTTTCAATTGTGTGTGTATATATTAGTGTAAAATCTTCATACAAATACAAAAGAATATCAATCTCCTTAATTACATATATAAATATAATCAGTTTTTTAATTCGGGTGGAAATTTTCAGACGAGACTGTTCTGAGACGGGGGCACCTCTGCTAAAGTGAATGTAGTCCGTCACAGATGGACCACTTAGTTGGTTGAAAACTGTAAGCGTAAGATAATTACTACATGATAGATAACCTTACAAACTCCGCCTGTAGCTCTTCCAGAGTTACTGCCGGTCCCAAGCCCGGGTAAAGGAGGAGAGTTGGGCATGGGGTTAGCGTCCCCATCCCGTAGAAACCTAACTCGCTAAAAAAACGCTAACCAGAAAAAATAACTCAAACCATTTAAACTCTGCCCTGGGAGTTAGAGGTAATATGACGCTTCATGGTGAAAGCCGAGTTCCTTCGGAAGCCACGAGGCCGATGCCCCTCCTAACAACCAGAGCAACAATTTTTATAGGTACATGGAACGTCCGGACAATGTGGGAGACCGGGAAGACCAGTCAAATAGCAACGGAAATGAGGAGATACAACTTGGCAGTACTGGGAATCAGTGAAACTCATTGGACCCAAGCTGGACAACAAAGGCTAAATACGGGAGAGATGCTGCTATACTCCGGTCACGAAGAGGAAAATGCTCCACACACTCAGGGAGTTGCTCTAATGCTATCCAAAGTAGCACGAAATGCACTTGTAGGATGGGAATCTCACGGATCCAGAATCATCAAAGCATCATTCAAAACAAAGAAGGAGGGGATCACAATGAACATTATCCAATGTTATGCACCCACCAATGATAGCAACGACGACGTTAAGGATCAATTCTATGAGAGGCTGCAATCAATCATAGAGAAGTGCCCAAGAAAGGACCTCACCATTCTGATGGGAGATCTAAACGCCAAAGTCGGAAAATACAACACCGGATATGAAGACATCATGGGACTACATGGACTGGGAGAGAGAAACGAAAACGGGGAAAGATTTGCAAATCTGTGTGCATTCAATAGATTGGTCATAGGCGGTACAACATTTCCACACAAACGTATACACAAAGCTACGTGGATCTCACCGGACCACACCACAGAGAACCAGATAGATCACATTTGCATCAATAAAAAGTTCCGAAGGACAATGGAAGATGTGAAAACCAGGAGAGGAGCGGACATAGCTTCAGATCATCACCTGGTTGTGGCCAAACTGAAACTGAAGCTAAAGAAGAACTGGACAAATTGACAAGCAGTACTAAAAAGGTTCAATACAGCCTTCCTTCGAGATACTGACAAACTCAATGAATTCAAGGTAGCTCTCAACAACAGGTTCCAAGCCTTACAGGACCTACTGAAGGAAGAAGAAACTACTACGGAGGATAGCTGGAAAGGTATCAAAGAAACATTAACTTCAACGTGTGAAGAGGTTCTGGGCCTCAAGGAGCATCATCACAAGGAATGGATCTCTACAGAAACACTGGACAGGATCAAAGAAAGAAAGAACAAGAAGACAGCAATTAACAATAGTCGAACAAGAGCAGAGAAAGTCCAAGCACAAGCAGAGTACATAGAAGCAAACAAGAAAGTGAAGAAGAGCATTAGAGCTGATAAGCAAAAATACGTGGAAGAACTAGCAACGACGGCGGAAAAAGCTGCAAGAGAAGGAAATATGAGACAGCTTTACGATACGACGAAGAAGCTTGCAGGGAAATATAGTAAACCAGAGAGACCAGTCAAAGACAAAGAAGGAAGACCAATCACTGAGATTCAACAACAGCGCAACAGATGGGCAGAGTACTTCGAGGAACTCCTGAACAGGCCGGCGCCAATGAATCCACCGGACATCGAAGCAGCACACACAGATCTTCCAATAGATGTCAATCCACCAACGACAGAAGAAATCAGAATGGCCGTCAGACAAATCAAGAGCGGGAAAGCAGCAGGACCCGACAATATACCAGCTGAAGCGTTGAAGTCAGACATCGAAGTAACTACAAGCATGCTTCATCTTCTGTTCAAGAAGATTTGGGAGGAGGAACAAGTGCCGATGGATTGGAAAGAAGGACACCTCATCAAGATTCCAAAGAAAGGAGATCTGAGCAAGTGTGAAAACTACAGAGGCATTACACTTCTGTCAATACCGGGTAAAGTCTTCAACAGAGTGTTACTGAACAGGATGAAAGACGCAGTTGACGCTCAACTTCGAGATCAACAAGCTGGATTCCGTAAGGACCGGTCGTGCACAGACCAGATTGCGACACTACGGATCATCGTCGAACAATCAATTGAGTGGAACTTGTCACTCTACATCAACTTCATTGATTATGAGAAGGCATTTGACAGTGTAGATAGGAGGACGTTATGGAAACTTCTTCGACACTACGGAGTTCCTGAGAAGATTGTCAACATTATCCGGAACTCATACGACGGACTACAGTGCAAAGTACTGCATGGAGGACAGCTGACAGGGGCATTCCAAGTAAGGACCGGAGTAAGACAAGGCTGTCTACTCTCTCCCTTCCTGTTTCTTCTGGTGGTCGACTGGATTATGAAGACCTCGACATCTGAGAGAAACTACGGCATACGATGGACAGCTCAGAACCAATTAGACGACTTGGACTTCGCAGATGACCTAGCCCTCCTATCACATACACACGAACAAATGCAGATAAAGACAGCCAGCATAGCAGCAGTCTCTGCATCAGTAGGCCTCAACATACACAAAGGGAAAACCAAGGTCCTCAAACACAACACGGAGAACAGCAATCCAATCACTCTTGATGGCGAAACTCTGGAAGACGTGGAATCCTTCACATACCTGGGAAGCATCGTCGATAAACAAGGAGGTTCAGATGCAGACGTCAAGGCGAGGATTGGCAAAGCTAGAGCGGCATTCCTTCAACTGAAGAACATATGGAACTCAAAACAACTTTCAACCAATATCAAAGTCAGAATCTTCAATACGAACGTCAAGGCAGTTCTACTGTACGGAGCTGAAACTTGGAGAACTACAACAACCACCATCAAGAAGGTACAGGTATTTATCAATAGCTGTCTACGCATGATACTCAACATCCATTGGCCGGATACCATCAGCAACAGCCTTTTGTGGGAGAGAACCAACCAGCTTCCAGCTGAAGAGGAAATTAGGAAAAGACGATGGAAATGGATAGGACATACATTGAGGAAATCATCAAACTGCATTACGAGACAAGCGCTAACTTGGAATCCTGAAGGGAAGCGGAAAAGAGGAAGGCCAAAGAACACATTACGTCGGGAAATAGAAGCAGATATGAAAAAGATGAATAAGAACTGGAAAGAGCTTGAAAGGATTGCCCAGGACAGGGTTGGATGGAGAATGCTGGTGAGCGGCCTATGCTCCTTCACGAGGAGTAACAGGCGTAAGAATGAAAGAAGAGAAAGAAGATAACCTTACAACATTGCTTGCTTGTCGTGTAACATCCGAGCATGCAATACTAAGGTTAGATAATAACGGCTAATTCGTTGATTTCCTCAGTCTAAGGTCAGAGCAGTCCATGAAATAATTAACTGTTGAACTGACTCAAATTGGTAGGTGCAAATTACTTGATTAAGGCCTGCTAAATAACCAGCTGTCATTGGTTAGAGATGGTTTTAGAATCGATTTCTCTGACCCAATTGATTTCACTTTTTATTATTTTCTAAATTCCGAATGTCAATGTTCCCCCATAAATATCTTTTCATTTTTTTCTTTTCGAACCATATTCTTATTAGTTTCATGTCTTTCTGTTAAAATGTTAAAGGAACTTGGTTTAATACATAATTTTGGTTAACTTCAGATTTTTATTTCTAATTTATATGACAAGTACCAATTATTTACATAAACTGAATAATTTACCTAATGTCTGATTTCTTTTCTTAACAGAACAAAAACCAATCACCAGATCAAAGTTCACCATTATCAATCTCTTCATATAAACCTCAAATCTGTTCAAACATATCACCTAGTCGATTTTTATACCTTATCGCCAGTGCCGAATCAACAGTACAACATCCTGTTGCAAATGCCCTACTTATTATAGCACGTACATTTCGTCGATTTGCATTATCATTTAATTCAAATGAATTATTACTAAATACATCAAAAGAAGGTCTAAATTATCAGAATACTTATAATAGCAAAATGAATTATGATTTATCTAATGACTTTGCAAAGGTGGGCAATTATCAGTATACTATTACTTATTTAGTTTAAAATAGTTATTTTTTTGTTATATGTTGAATATCTTTTCTACGTGTCCGTATCTACAGCTCAGATTGGATGACTTTTAGTTCACTTTTTCTTAACCCTCACCTATTAAAATCATTACATAGTACCTTTGAGTAGGCTACGGTTGAGGTATGCATTACTTGTAAAATGACTGTTGCAGGTAGTCGACAAAAAACCCTGGACCGACGTTTCGTGCTATTTGCGACTCGTCAACAAAGTGTACCTAAAATCTTGAGAAAACTAATGCTCCATGGCGAATTCGATCCTATGTCACCAAGTTTCACAGTTAGAGATGTCACCTCTGAACTATTCAGGCTGCGACTGACCTTGCGTATGACTGATATGTATTAACGATCAATTGATCACGGAGTAGTGATCAAAACTATGTATGTCAAATCTTTTTAGAGCTCACTTATTTATTATTATTTATTTGAACACATAAATATTGGTACAGTGGGGGCACCAAATACATATGCGCCACACAAAACAATGATAATTTGAAGAGAAGGAGAAAAGAGAAAAAAAAAGTAATGGACGTGGGGAATTATAAAAAAAAAGGAAGAGAGAGAGAACAATGGTGGGGGAAACGGAAAGGTACAATCAGAAGAGATCTTTCAGTTAAGGAAGATACAACCACGTTTTATGGAGAAAGTAAAAGAAGGTTACAGCAGGATCGCCACTGGCTTCTATTCTGAGCCATATCTGATAACGTCTCTAGCCACTGCGTTACACCGTCTCTCGGACCCCAATCAGGGAGTCGTGAAGGACCAACACAAGCCAGCCCTTTGCAGCTTTCTTTCATACCACGACACCATGTCATATACTGACCACCTCTCCGCTTTTTCCAACCAGTCCCAGAGTCGGCAAATAATGCACGACGTGGAATTCTCTGGGACGACATTCGTAGAACATGTCCAAGCCACCGAAGTCGGTGTTTCAAGATGGTGACACCAATTTCATTATCGTCTCTGTGACCGAACACTCGATGCCGAACCTCTGCATTACTGACATGGTGTTGCCACTGGATGTCAGCAATCCTTCGGAGACAACGATGATCGAACACAGAGAGTCGTCTAACATCCTCAACTCGGAGAGGCCAGGTTTCACAAGCATAGAGCAAAACTGCTCTCACCGTACTCATATTCGGTAGTAACATACAATTTTCAACCAGGCAGTGACTCGAGAACGTTTAGATAAAGCTGAATTTTCACCATAGGCGAGCTGCTGTCTGAGTCGAAGCGGATACAAAAAGTAGAAATAGGAGATAGTGAATAAATGACGTAGTAAATAATAATTATAATAACAATAATAATAATAGTAATAATAATAATAATACCAGTCATTTCAATGTTAGTTGGAGAGAAACGAATACTTTCTATAAGCATATAGTTCATCATAGTTTTAGTGAGTGGGCTGGGATACTGCCCGGGTGCCCAGTCCGAAGCAGGTGGTTTTCTTAGGGGGCCACACCCCGAGCCTTTGACCTAAAGGTCTAGTCCACAAGGCAGTGGAGCATCGTGAGGAGATGCAGTCCCATGGAAGCCGGTGACCAAAAGTTGGTTCATACGCCATTTGTTCCCGCAGGATACTGGAGCTAGCCCATGTGCACCATTGGTTTGGGATCCGGTTATAGCGCCGGACGTTCGCTTTTCGTCCTCTCATTTTCGTAAACAACAGTAATGCCACGAGAAGGCAGTGAGTAGGACTTCCCTGACAGAGGCTGTATACGCGTGGCCGTGTGAGAGTATTTCGAGAGGGAGGCCGAACCCTCCCCGCTCTCGGCCATACCAGGGCATTTGGGGGTTTTAGAGCTCACTGAATTTTATCGACTCTCAAGATTACAAGTGTACCCTGCTGACGAGTCTCAAACACCACTAACCTAGCTCCAAGAATTGCTGTTGACTACCTCCAACCACTACCCTACATCTCAACACAGTGCATACGATCTCGAGTCATTTAGACCAGTGGACAACCTTACAATTTAGTCTATGGAATTTAGTCACCACAAAAATGAACCAGAAATATATAACATTGCTCAATAACCACACAATTGTAGACATTTATTATCTCTATGGATAATGTCAAAAACACCCCTTCAATAATTCCTCACCACTTACAAAGTAAGTTTCTCAGCCCATAAAATTATTTACTCTGTAAAATTCAGAACTTTACCAAAGATAGAAGTATTTAGAAATTTTAAGACAATGAAACTAACTTATTACCTCGCTAAACAAATATGATTTAGCGAAGAAAATTTATCTTGTACAGTTGCGCTTTTTAAATGCTGCACAATCGTAGGTATCGTTAAACATAAGAGTCTACAACAAAATAGAGGGGTGTTGCTATATTTAACAGTTATCAGAAATAATCGACAATTTTCAAATATCAATTATAAGTTAAGTAATCGTCCTAAAGGTAATAAAACGTTTTAATTTGTTAAAAAAGGAACTTTAAAAGATGATTATCTATAAGATGAATCTAAAGATGAATAGTACACAGAATAAGTAATAATAATTTGTACAATTAGGAGTACTATGACTAAGGTTAAGATAAAGGGTTAAAAACGTCTCCACTTTGTACGTAAATATCGGGCTTAAGTTGGTGGATTAATAAAGCCTCGGATGCACACAAATGTCTTATCTAAATCCCTGATTTTGTAGATAACGTTGAAGGATTATGCTGATGGCGGTACGTGACTAGAGGTGACGCCTATCCTTAAGGAATGAGCTGTTGACTGATGTTTGCTCACCTTTAGGGAGCTATATACAGTAGGTCCCATATATGTGTCCAAAAGTTCACGATTTGTGCGACTAATATAACCTGCTTTCTAGAAACAAATGAAGCGATAAATTTTCGTTTAGTTGGCCCGAATTATCAGTTTACCACTGACAATTTGCCATGCGTAAAAGATAACTGTAATTACGATTTTATAGTTTAAGTAGATGACATCGTCAAAAAAAGCTTTTATTCACTGAATCATCTTCATTTTGTTTAATTTAGCAATTTATTTTCTCAGTGGTAGCATACACCTACCCATGAGATTCCAATCACATAAGTGCTCTTCGGGTTTCTTTAGACAGCATTAGTACAACTCCTTGTGTGTACAAGGTATTATCTTCTTCATGACCAGAGTACAACAACACTTCTCTCGAAGCTAATCTTTTCTGTTCATTATAGGCCCCATTTGATTTCAATTATTCTAAATACCGCCAAGTTGTATCTCCCCATTTCCACAGCTGTTTAATTAGTTATCTCGGTCTGCCAGATTGTCTAGTCATTTCATTCACCTATAATAATTGTTGCTCCTGTTGTCAGAAGGGGCATCAGCTTTTTGATTCACGAAGAATTTTGGGTATCACCTTGAGACGTCATAATTTTTCTATATGAAGACCCTTCAACTCTCAGAGGAATATTTAAATGGTTTAGATGATTTTTTTCTCTGGTTAGCGTTTTCCTACCAAATTTCTTTTTTACGGGGATGAGGTTGCGAACCTATGCTGGCTGAACACCAGACGTAACCGAAGAAGAGTTCTAGACCGAGTTGGTTGGAGAATCGTGATTGGTGGTCCATGCTCCACGCGGGTTAACAGGAGTAAATAAATAAGCTACAAAAATGAGTTATTAACGAAATATTGTTTGCAAAAAGGTATTTAAACATTAGTTTTGCTTTAACAGTTGAATAGTTCAAACATTTTTCTTTACTCAAATTATTGGTATGTTGTACTGTAGTGAACAGAACACCAGTAGGGACAATCGAATATATTTGACACAAAATTACAGAGCATCTCAATAAAATCTGAGAACCATATAGTAAGTCGTTAATTTGCAAAATATCAATCCATTATCTCAAACTTGACTGTTCCTGTTGCAAACACCAATCCATTGTCTCAGGTTTAATTGTTCATGAGTTTTCATACGAATTGCGTTCCGTTCCCGCTCTTTCCTCATCGACCTTCTACTGAATTACATTCTATGCCTTACCACCGTTGTATACTACTTGCGTGGATATAAGTAACCCACACCACAGTACTACCACTTTATGTCGAAGCAGTGATCATTAATTCTGTGTATTCTGAAGTTTCCGTATGTATTATAATATATGTTTTCTTTTTTTTCTGTTTTTATAGATTTCCCAAATTAGAACTTCATCTGGACTAGGTGTTCAATGTAGTGTTGATCTATTACCGTATGATTGTCCACCAGGTCCGGCATTGCCGAAACCTTTAGATGTTAGAAGTAGTAATAGTTTTAGCAATCAGTATACTGAATTAGATATTAATGCAGCATTACAAATGAAATTAACTTACATATCATGTATGTGGCCGACAAAAAATACGCCTTCCACTGAGAATAATCTTGTTGATGGGGATCATAATGAATTTAATAATAACAATAATAATAATTTTCAAAAGTTTAATGATTTGTTGTCTGATCAATCTATGACATATCCGGCTAGTTCTCATTCCACAGTCAATGAATTAAATGAATATCAGGTATTAGGCGATTGTAAAGAAGGTGTACAACAGGAAATTAGTATAAACAATAATATCATCACTTCTCAACAGCAACAACAAAGACACTTTTTAAATGGATCAGAAAGAATTGAATGGGCAGGTAGTTATGTTGTGAATTTATTGTGTTAAAAACACCTAGTTCAGCGAAAAGATCTCTTTTCAGTGAATTTGTTATCAAGCTGTACAATTGTATATATAATTGTATAGTTCGATAATAAATTTGTTGAAAAAGAATCACTGAACTTCGTGTTTCTAATATTGAAAATTTATTGTGTATTTCTTTTTTCAGTATAATATTTATTTGTATTAATCTAGATACTCGTGTATTTTTTTTATTTTAATGGTTGAGATCATGAGTCAGATGAAGCTATTAACAGCTATCAACATATGCTAACTAGTGACTAGCTTCAAGAGGTATATCCTGGAGTTCTAATGAGAAGCAGTGACCAGTGGAGTTCAACCAGGACTGTTGTGAGATAGTAACTCACTGATGACAATGGTGGGTGTGTCGCTCATTTTCGTGGATTAGTTGAAGTTAGACATTAACATCGTTGGATGCCGGTCGGCTCAGTGGTCTAGTGGTTAAGCGCTCGCGCGTGAGACTGATAGGTCCTGGGTTCGGATCTCGCGGAGGTGGGAATGTGGATGTGCACTGCTGAGGAGTCCCATACTAGGATGAAACGGCCGTCCAGTTCTTCCAGGTTTTCAAAAGTGGTCTAGCTTCGAACGACTCACGATCTCAACCATTTAAATTACTATAATATCCACAAAACCCCTTCTGATATTTTTTTATTGTTTGATGTTCGATTATGTTTTGGTGGGATTCTGATAGAAGAAGGCTTCTAATCATATCAATAATGATAATAAACTATTATTAGTAATAAATTTTTACTTTGTTTTAGTTTAAATGGAACATTGTCTGTAATCAGACCTTTCTAGCATCCAACCTAAACTTCTTTTAATAGTAGATTAGTGTAATATATATATGAACTGTTTTTGTGTACAATGCTACTTTAGGCATTTATATAATAAAACGTCAAGAAAAGAAAAGAAAGAATTTATGATCACACTATTCCTTATAGTTAGAAAATGACTACTGTTTGTACATTGCCAAATTACTTGAATAAATTTTTTTTACAATCGATAATAATGAATGTGTTATCTGTTATAATAATGATATTATGAATTCAGCTTCTTGATAACTTATCTTCTAATTTGGTTGTGAGAAATAAGCTAAAAGTTTGGTATTTATGTAATTTTTCGTAAAAAGAACAAAGAAACCATCTCTACTAACTCATCAGTGTGTTTGTATTGTGAATCGTTGAACTTTCAGTTTCTGCTAGACTATATTGGACAGTTTCAATATTAATTTGTTTTCCTGATATATAAATTCAGTTGTCTTAATCAGTAGATAAAGAAAAGTAGACCCAACATCTAGAAATATCATATATTTCCTGTTCATTGTCATATCATTCATTTTGTAAATGATACCCGAAATATCTTTCACACTTATATTTATAACTAATTTGTATATAAATGTTACAAGAATTAAACTAACGACTGTTCAATTTCTGTCGTATAGATAAGTATGCATATTTCAAACTGAGGGAGGGAGAAATCTTTGCACATTAATTTAAGATCGACTTTAAACTCTGTAAAGTGTTTTCTTTCCAGTAGGTGGGTGTAGGTGAATTATGATCCTCATATAATAAGTATATAATTGAACTGTATATTAGAGAGAAACTTGACGGTGGTAATAATGTATGTAGAAATTTCTACACTACGCTAAATAAATTTTTCGATACTGAAAGTTTTGAAGGTTCTAAAAGCATATATAAACCAACCAGTAGATAAATAAATTTGTTTCACTTCGATTTGAACTAGTACAAGTTGTACTAATTAAGCAGTGTCATTGTTGTATCAAGTTCATCATACCAATGTTTTAATCACTCCTAACTTTTGACAGCAAATTCAACTTCATTGATAAACAGATAGATCTCAGAAGTTACCCATAGATTCCGAAATTATTCGAAATCTTCATATTTAGCTAGTTTAAGTACTTAACAGTAGCAATTAGTAAGACCAATTGTTATATATGTTATTTGTTTGCTATTGTTTACAAATGAATATCAACTAGTTCTCATCTAATCTTCAGAAACATGAACAACCTTGTTGTGCATATGATTAGTTGAACTGTAACTGATCTGTGTGTGAGTATTAAATGCGTACTATGCTTTACCACCCACTCTGCAGATGACTTGACAATTTTCAAAATCTTCACAAAAGATGTGGTTAATAAGGTGATATACAGAGAATTAAGAAGTTGTTGATTTTTCCCACCTTGCTGTAATTGTATAATCTCTTAGATTCAGAAAATTTTAAAATAATGCTTACCTAATGAACAATCAAAGCGTTGAAAGTATACAGGCCTAAAAACACATTCTTGTTCTCAAACATGGTGGTTTGATAATCTAAGTGTGGGCTTACAACTAAGCAGATGATCACAAATTAAATAAAATGTTATGCTATATTCTTTCTAAGTGACATTAATTTTGATTGTAAGTGCTTTGTGATTAAATTGTTAAACTTGCGTCTATTAGCAACATATGTGGTCCACTAGCAACAACCTTTAACGTTTCCTAACTGATAATATCATGAACTAACATTAGTCTGAAAACCAAGTAGCACTAAAAAACTTTCGTACTAGTATATGACTTTTGAGCAATAAACTTCCATGATTCTGCCATCAATTAAACCCAAGACTTTCAGGCCTTACGACGAACCCTTTACTTTCAAACTATTAAGTTGGGATCCAAATTTATACAATTCTAGCTTCATTCAGCTGGTGATACTACATCGCTATCATTCTTTGCAACTGTTAATAGTTGTGTCACACCCGATTTGGTTGAGCTCTCCACTAGTCACAAATTCCCAATAGAACTCCATGAATTTTACTCTAAAAGTCAGTCACTGGTGAGTACATGATTATTAGTAGTAATATAAAACGTTTATGAAGGTCGTTCAATTTACACTTTACATCACGAAGTGATTTTAGTTATAAAAAGTACCATCACTAACGTTACAGGTAAATTGTTAGAACACCACTTCTAATCTCTTAGTTGTAGCCTCTCTCTATTTTGGTTTAGGCATTTGATTATTATCAATACCCCTCTGTTATACCTAGATGTTTGTTTTCTTGATATACCGCAAATAACTTGAGCACTAGAACGCCAGAATCCTTCCAAGTCACAATGAGAAAACAGAAGGCTATTGAAAGGAATATTATTCCCAACAGTGTCAATTATAGTACAAAATCGTCAGGTATTTATAGTTTTTAGTAAGAACGAAATAATCAATACAGTCCTCCAATCCGCATACAGAAGGTTATTAGCATTGTCCAATCGGGAAGCTACTTGTAGGAATTCTGGAATATTCTTCCAGAAGGTGATTGGATGAAATATCTTCGGCTCCTTCTGAGCCTCTTACAGCTTCCTCGAGTTCACCCATGGTCCGTCCTCATACCTCCCTCCTTTAAGGTCTGTTGTGTAAGACTTTTTCCTTGGATCCACCTGTAACTTGGTTGAGATAATTTTAGAAAATTCAATTCATAATTTGATTTATTGAAATGTCCCAAGATGTTTATTTTTGGGAAGATACAAGCCAAACAATACCAAGTGAATTTAAATTCACCCCAGTGTACAAACAAGTGGCTATCAGGACTCAGTAATTAAGTGGATAACACGATGGCGTTTGAAGCGAATGAAACTGGGTTCGAGTCCCAGAGTGAACATCAACTTTGAGATGCAGGTACATCCAGCTGACGAGTCCCGAATAGGACGAAACGCGCGTCCTGGATTCCACTGCTAGCCACTATCCATCATTGTTTATTTTTGTCTTGTAACTTTATAGCTAATTGACAAACTATTCCAGTGACTTTGAGTTGAATTGATCTGAAGTTTTGAAGATATCATGAAATTTTCTTCACCAGTTTATTTTATCCGTCTTTTTCAGAACTATTTTGTTTACCTAAAAATGAAAGTGTTTTTCCCGTATATGTTTATATTTGACTCGATATCTACGTTTTTTCTACTCAACTCACTTATAGACTCCACTAAAGGTGGTGTTCATTCTGTACTGATTGGTAATCGTGAATGGCTAAAACAAAACAACGTAATATTGCCCATCATTTTATCTAATGAATACCTGCCGGATGGACGTGAATCAAATCGTCAAACTACTGGCTATTGTAACATCCCAACATTGGACTCATTAGTTGCAGCTGATGAGTCTCAAGGTCACACTGTTGTTTATGTCGCCATTGATAATATTCTAGTCGGTCTAGTAACAATTTCTGATCCAATTAAACCGGAAGCTGATTTAATCGTTGCTGCACTACGTCATCGTGGTATACGTGTAGCTCTATTAACTGGTGATAATTATCGTAGTGCTAATGCAGTCGCACAACAAATCGGTATTGATGAAGTCTATGCTGAAGTGTTACCTGGTCATAAAGCGGATAAAATAAAAGAATTACAAAATTGTACAACTGTTCGTAGAAGAAATAAGAGAAATTCTACTATGATGTCGATGACGAAGATAAGAAATAAAAAACAGAATAAAATGAAAACGAAAGATTGTATTTCAAATAATACTGGTTGTGTAACTAACACCGTAGGAGATGGTGAGTCTTATGTTATATTTACATTTTATTAATAATATATCACAATAATAATAGTAAGCATATAACTTAAAATAAATGGATTATGGCTAGCAGGGAAGTCTATGATGCGTGTTTCGTTCTGTTTGAGATTAATCAGCTGGGTGTAACCTGTATTCCTGTTTTGATGTTCACATTGAGAATCAAATTCAGTGCTTATTGTTTTAAACATTAATGGGATATTATCTGAGCTATTGAGTTCAAACAGCCACTCACTTATCTAACAGGCATCATGTTTATACGATTATAAGTAAACGATTAAGTTATCCCATTGTTGATGTTTAGGAATAAAGTTTAATCGATTCCTAATTAGTAATATGTATTAATCCTATGCGAATTTCCTGGAAATAACCAGGATGAATATGTGGCGGCAAAGATTGATCAACATTTAGTTCTAAATATCAACAAACGAGTGATTCAAACGCTTTTTTTAATTTTTTCCCCTAAAATGGACTTCATATTCATAAAGTGTGTGTAATATGGGTGATAAGTAGATTTTTTCTGCAAACTATTTTTTAAAAAAATTATCCGAATTATGCTATGTTTGAAGAAATTACGAGTTCACCTAATCTGCAAACGGAACGAAAACTCAGTGACTTAATGACCAAATAAGCTAGCTATTCCGATGCGTCCCAGCCCCGCTAACTAGAGAGAACTTTAGGTTCAGAAGGAGGGAATGTATTCCACATGCAGCTAAAAGCACGGACAACAACCATAAGCACAATTCAAGAGTATATATACGGCACAAAAATGTCCTTGGGAAACGTTACAAAATAGCATATTAACAGAGACAACGAACCAGTGGCATTTAAGGTCCTCCCAAGTGTAAAACACGACATGAAGGTGGAAATAAGCGCTTTTGGAGCGAAAAAAGGAAATTCAAATGTCCAAAATGAAGTCGCAAAAATAAGACGTTTACCAAGTGAGTTCTGGGGATCTAACATCATTGACAAATTCACTCATACAACCAAACGATTATGTAGAGTATTGACGAGACCATTCAAGTTTCAGTCGTTAAGCCGTAGGTTTGGCCTCTGGCTCACATAACCCCGGTCCACATACATATAGACAAGTTGATTGTGTTGCGTTAACTCATACAAACAGATTAAATTGTAATTTTGTCAAATATACGAGTATAAACGAGTTTAACTGATTTCCGTCATGTTGGTAATTTAATAAAATTCCTAGAATAGTTAAACTCGTGAGAGAGAGAGAAAAAAAACCTGATACTGTTGTCTTTAATACGGTGCACACACACGCATGCATTGATGCACAAATACCTAGTGACTCAGTCGGTATTGTGATGAATTTAACAACTGTGAGTTAACTGACGTGCATAGATTATGCAGATTTATCTAAGAATCAAAGAGTCGACTAACACTTGTTATCGTGACTCAATGTAATTTATTTATCCTCATTATGATCAAAAAATACCTCCGGTATCGTCATCATCAGTGTGTATGTGTGTGTATACACAAAATCAATGTAACTTCTCACACTCTTTTTCTTTTCTACGAGTTCGAAATGTTGATTTTCAAGTTGTATTTAGTTTCTCTGTTGTTCGTTTCTTTTTTTCACTAAGGTGTTAAATGGATGAAACTGTGAAGTAGATTTTCTTTTAAAAAAACACTTCAGATTTTAACAACTAGCATTCTTACACATCTACACGATTCATCCTTACCTTTGGAAAGATGATTTATTTCATTCCTAGTCATTTTGTCATTCAGATTTGTAATATTGAGCATGTGTGCATAATCGTAAAATATGTCTGTATCTCCTTTTATTTATGATGTTTGTAAGTAATGTTTAGTCACATTTCTCATTCAACTAAGTTGCTACGTTTATCATATGCGATTTGGGCTTCTTCACTTCACATTCCTCATCGTTCTGTCGCATAAAATAATGAAATTAATTTGTATTTGACTTTTTATTACCACCGCTCAAATGGGGTTAGCCCAAATCAAATATACGATATCAAACAGAGGATTGATTTTCATAGATTATTCATCGTGGACCTATAAGTTTACATTTTTAAACACTTTAAAACAAAATTATGTGTAATACTTCATTCATTTGGCAAGAATACATAATACAAAAGACGTTTTAATGAAGATGTGTCAAAACTGAAAACAATTATTCTAATTACCACCAATCAATAATTTTAGTTGGTCAATTAGTTTTAGTAGAAGTGTTGTGAGGACAGACATAAGTAGTGTGTAACAGCGATTGGAAGTAGAATGCTTACCAGAGAAAGTTTGAAATTAAGATAGAGGAAGGAAAACAGAGAGCAATCAAAATAACAACAAGATTGGAAGAATGATGAAGTATGTAAAGGATAACTCAAGAAAGATATGTGAATGATGTGTTTAATGTATGATTTTACATATTTTGCAAAGATATTGTTTGATTTTGCAAAAAACGGTAAAATGTTTTATCGTATTTGGGTTTTCACTCACTACAACGGTAGTGGTAGCATATTGTAGTGGACAAAAATTCAGGTGGGGAAGATCAATTTATTGTTTAATCCCAAATGGCAGTGTGTTCGTGAAATATGAAAACTAGACATTAAATACATTATTTGCACATCCACCTTCAGCTGTCCCTTACATGCTTTATGATTCTTCCAATTCCGCCGTTAATACAGTTACTTTTTGTTTCCCTTCCTGTTCACTTTATTTCAATATTCTGCTGCCAGGCATTCCACTTTTAATTAGTTTCACATATTACTTATATCTGTCAACATAAGTAGCATACGCCACAATATAGTAAGTAATTATATTTCAGAAAGGGTTTTGCGGAGATTTTAGTAATTTCAATAGTTGAAATCATGAGTCAATTAAAGCTAGACCACCATGGAAAACCTGGAAGCAATGGATGTCCGTTTCGTCCTAGTATGAGACTCCTCAGCTGTGCACATCCACATTCCCACCCCCGCAAGATTCGAACCCAGGACCTATCAGTCTCACGCGCAAGCGCTTAACCACTAGACCACTGAGCCGACCGGAATCCAACGGTGTTAATTTCTAACTATCGTGGATGCCCGCTGTTGAGGAGACTCATACTAGGACGAAACGTCCGTCCATTGCTTCCAGGCTTTCCATGGCGGTCTAGCTTCAATTGATTCATGATTTCAACTAGTGAAGTAATTATTTATTAGAAATATGTTTGTGTTATTAAAAAAATAGATTCATGAAAGATTGATTAATTTTTCATATTCATTATATTTATTTATTTATTTCACGTCAAATTTTAGAACCGAATCGTCAAATCTTCAATTCGAAAATATCAAATAAACCAAATCATTCCAAACTTAAATCATTAAAGAAAACAATTCCAAATAATAATAACAGTAATGGTAATTCATCTTGTCATATAGAAAATGAATTGAATTTATCCAATGAAGAATTATCTGATGATGAATTTAATCATACTATTCAAAGTACACATGGTAAATATCATGAAAAATCTATAAAAAATACTTTATCTATTAAACAATTCATTAAACAATGTATTAGGGTGATATGTTGTTTTACTAGTCAACATTATAATTATTATTCTAATATTGTAAAATCATCAAATTCTTTAAGAAAACATCAAAATAATTCTTTTCATCAACGTCAAATAGAACGTCATCATAAAATGAAATATCGAAAAAATAATTTACGTGTATCACTTACAAAATCTCAACGTCAGTATGTTGCAATGATTGGTGATGGTGTTAATGATAGTCCAGCATTGGCTCAAGCAGATGTTGGTATAGCTATTGGTTGTGGTGCAGATGTTGCTGTTGAAACTGCTGATGTTGTACTTATACGTAATTCATTAATTGATGTAGTTGGTGCTATTGATTTATCGAAAAAAACTGTACGTCGAATACGATGTAATTTTATCGCTGCTACATTATATAACCTGATAGGAGTACCTGTTGCTGCAGGTCAGTTTATTTGCTTGTTTGTTTGCTTGATTTATTTTAATTGTTGATTTTAACCTTAAGAAATGAGATGGTGCTTAAATATCCATGTTGTTGTTTCTATAAAGTTCGTACTATCGGAGATTTTATAATTAAAATAAGTGTTAAAGGTCATTTATCTAAATGTAGTTTTTTTCTCTAATCTCTTTTGCTTTTCTCATATTTTATTGATATCGAAAAGGGTTCTTTGTTCGACTTACTATATAAAGAGATTTCATACTTTTGGCATTATTCGATATTTACTCTTACAATTTGTACATTCTTGTGTATTATCTACTATTCTTCGTTATTGTTCCTCATTATTTTTTCCTAGGCTGTTAAGTAAATGTTTCACTGTGTTGTGGAGAGCGCTAAAACTAGTTATTAGGGTGTGTGGTGAGTTTGTTAAAGTCATTATGAATATGGTTGTGAATGGACATTTAAAATCTTGCAAACTTCTGGCAAGTGTTATCTTATCGGATACTAACCATCCACTTCATTCAGATCTTTCTCCTAATACATCTTCTGGTAAAACCAGACGCCGATACATTAGAATCCATGCACGCATGCTAAGGTATAAAAGTTCTACAATACCTTATCTAGCAAACATGCTATGTGGCGAACAGGTTGTAACAGCTAACCTAACCACCTGCTTCGGTTTGGGCACCCGGGTAATATCACAGCCCTCACACATATCAAATGAGATCTGTGCGGCGCATATGTATTTCGTGCCTCCTTGTACCAATATCTATGTGTTAAAATAAAATAAAATAGTCAATAACTTTCATTCTTAAAAAAATTTCATTGAATTTCAGATAGACAATTTACCTATTTCATGTATGCGGTTATTGATTACTTTGTTTTTATTGAAATACTGCATGCTGAGAATTCCATGTTAAACTAAACGTATAATCTTAAATAAAGCCAATAATAATAATTTATGGCTGCTAAAAAGGGCTCAGATTGTATAGTTTTTATTAGTAACATGTTAGTTTTTTCTTTAAATGATTACCTCGATAGCATTTTTTTCAGTTTATGTTCCCATAGCGACATTTCCCATTATCTGATTGGTTGTTACTATTTAGTGTAATAATTTTACTATATCGCAAGGTCATCGAGTGTTGGTATACGAACGAAATTGTGTCCATTACAATCCCTGACTTGTATTCGAAATATAAAGTTGTATCTTCTATATCTCATATTGACATAAAAGATATGAATTTTAAAGTGTTTTCGTGCGTCAGTTACTGTCCTATCAAGCCCACCATAGTCTGTCCGTATCGGAATAATCTCGATTCTTCATAAGAAGTAGTTACCATAGGGCTAAGCAGAAATGTAATTCTTAGTCGATTTTTCTGGAAATTAACAGTTCCATTGCACAAATTATAAGTTATACTACCTTACTAATGATAATCACACAAAAAATATAATAAGCACCAAAGTGGAGAAGTGACTCTGATTAAGGCGTTTAGCTTTCAACGACTACTTTTCAGATTCGAACCCTGCATCACTTTGGTTTGAGCGACCAGGTAGGCAGTATCATTAATTTCCGCACTTAGAATACAACTCAAAGCTAAGCAAACGAATTTGTAACTAGTAAATGAGTTAATAATAACGCCTTATTTATCACATGAAACATCTAACAAATAACATAACTTAATTGGTATCAGATTCTAAACAGTCACTCATTAGTAGCTAACTGTCTTTTAATAGGTACACATTAATGGATCATTGACTTAGTGATTAAATCACTTGGCAGTCAGCAAATGTATGTGATAGCTTCGAAGTCATCTGCACCTTAGTTTGTTTAAACAACCAGCTAGAATGATTGACCCTCACACAAACACAAAAATACATTATTGTAAACAAATAAATGACAAGACATTAAAGGTTTCGATGGTTACGTCATCTTCAATATTAATTAGATTTAATAATTGTTTACCAACTTTATATTGATAATAATATGAATGATGAGATGGAGTATCTACACAATTTTATAAGAATAGCACCCACACATACAAATACCACTATATATATATGCCGCAATACAAATTTCCTGAATAATAGCGTTCAAACTAAATATAACTTTTAAATGAAATATTGGAACTACCATTTAGTTTTAATTGTTGAGATTCTCGCAAATGCAAGTTCTTCTTTCTTTTCTAAACCTGTTCATTCAAATCTTAACAAAAGTTTATATCAAGATTATTATTCCTATTATTCTCTATTCAAAAATCACAATATTAATTAAACCTAATTTTTCCTTTCGTCGTTGTTTTATTTATTTTTTTGATTTCATTTAGGTTGTTTAATGCCATTCGGCATCGAATTAACACCATGGTTTGCATCAGCTGCAATGGCAGCTTCATCTCTTTCTGTCATATTTCTTTCATTACTTTTAAAACGTTGGCAAAAACCAACACCAGCATCTCTTATCTGTCCAGAATATGTGAAATTCCTTAATTCACGATCATATGAAGCTAAGGTAATACTTTAATTGGGTAGTAAGAATAATTATTCATTGTTATTTTTTGTCGTTAATTATTATTAGCTTGGCATATTCAACAATAAGTGGTACACATCACCTTACCTCATAGATTTCGGTTATCGATCGTAAGATGTGGAAGTACATATGAAACCATTTACAAAAGCACTGCGTACAATTGACCTCGAAAAGTTGTTCCTTGAGTTCTGTGGGCATGTTTCCAGGTTCTAAAGACTACCAACCCTAATCTAGTTTCCTTCCCAATTCTCTCAAAAAGAAGTATCTTTTCAGGGTGAAAGCAACAGCTAAATAACAATCTCACTCATGTTTTTGACTATACTCGAGATCACTTAGAATCTTTGATGGCAATCAATGGCGAACAAATTTCAGTGAAATTTGGATCCAGATCTTTTTTATCAGGCTTCTCACCGTACTTTTAAAGTAAAATACAGTTATGCAAGACAATTTTGATGTAAAAGAACGATGGAAATATTTTCTCCTTTCACGATATACTACCATAACACAATAATAGGTCTGGAGGACCGAAATTAGACTACCATCAAGCTGAATTCTCGATCGATGGGCTGTACACAGACTAGATCACGTTATATCAGATATATGATTTTATTAATTTATTTGAACACATAAACATTGGTACAAGGTGGCACCAAATATATATGCGCTACACAATGGCAATGAGACCAGTATCAGTTATCGTTGATTTGTGTGAGGACTGTGATACTGCCCGGACACTCGAACAGAGGCAGGTGGTTTTCTTAGGTACCTAAACCCCGAGCGTTTGACCTAGAGGTCTAATCCACAAAGTAGTGGGGGAACGTAAGGAGATGCAACCCCATGGCAACAGATGAACAACGATTGGTTCATACACCATTTGTTCCTTCAGGATCTTGGAGCCCATGTGCACCATTGATTTGGAATCAGGGTTTTCCAACTCCGCTATGTGGATCTTCCAAATCCACCAACATGGTTAAAGCGCCGTACATTCTATTTTCGTCCTCTCAATTCCTCAAAAAAAAACAGTACTGCCACGAGGAGGCAGTGAGTAGGACTTCCCTGACAGTGGTTGTATACTGTGACGACGGACCACGGATGAACTCGAGGAAGCTATAAGAGGCTCAGAAGGAGCCGAAGATATTCCATCTAATCACCGTTAGGAAGGATATTCTAGAATCCCTACGTGTAGCTTCCCGATTGGACAAGGTAATAACCCCCTGTATGTGGATTGGAGGACTATAATGATGATTTTTATTCTTACTAAAACTATAAATACCTGACAATTTGTACCCATAATTGACACTGTTTGGAATAACATTCCTTTCACTAGTCTTCTGTCTTCTCTTTGCGACTTGGAAGGGTTTTGGCGTTCGTGTGTTCAGTTGTACGCGTTATATCAAGTAAATCAACCATTTCTAGATATAACATATACGCGTGGCCATGTGATAACATTTCGAGGGGAGAGTTGACTGTCCTCACCCTCGGCTGTACCCGGGCATTTGGGGACGATACGTGATTTACTACCGAAGATGGAGAACCAGAGTGGACTAGGCAATACTTTATTTCACACAATAACAAACAGTTTACACTGAGTGAATCGAAAATAGAAATCAACAACATGATAGGAAACCACTGTCAATAGACTCAATTTCTGTTTTTTCCCACGCTCATTGGTCAACGATTGTTCGCCTTCATTAACTACGTATCAAAGTTTCAAACTTGTAATCTGATTTTTAAAATCAAAGCACTAGAACTACAGCCTCCACGTAACTAATATTTTACCAATAATTCTGTTAGTCATGAGCGACATAGAACGTGGCACATGTATACAGCCAGTGTTGTACCATATAACGGCAAGATGCAATTCTCATGATAAGTACCAAAGTAGTGAAAGCAGTAGTACTAATAGTATCAATAATAAAAACTAACAGTTTTAGATATATAAAAGGTAGTTTGAGAAGAATAAATGTTCAAAATAAAGTGTATAAAATAATGTTAGAATTCAGAAGAGAACGAGTGTATGCGCGAAATTGATTGAAGAAACTCTCAATATTAGCGTTTCAACGTATCATACAGGATTAACATTTGCTGAAATTATCTTTGAAAAAAGACAGAGTTTTATTCATTTTCAGAGGTAGTAACGAAAGCAATAGATGAAGCAGTTAAAAACAGTTTATCAGTTTCCATCATAATGCAATTATAGTTTCAATTGTCCATTGATATCCTATAACTCAGTTTTTACCTTATGTTATGGATTTAAAATTTGAACTTCATCGTCAATGTCAAGTACTATGTTCGAGTCGCGATGTGACCATCAACACTGCAGTGCAGATAAGTCCAGCTGATGAGTCCCAAGTAGGACCAAACTCATGATGGTCAACAGAAGTACGAATTTTTCGTCATTGCTGATCTGTGTTGTTTTCAGTTATTCTAGACTAAACTTTTTATGGGGTCTTGAAATTTTTCTCAATGTTCATCTCCTAAATAACTGGTTATTTAACAAAACCACTGGTAAATCTTTCATTATGCATACTATATTTTAAATAGTTTACATGAAAGAGTGCACTTCTAATGAAATCAAGTATAAACATCTAAAAGATGATTGATATATATGGGATCATTTATGATTATTGTAAACTTTCATAAGTTGATATTTTAGTAGGTTAAAAATTACTAGATGTCAATTCAGAAATTAACTCTTCTTCGTGGTAGTGTTCAGTCCTAGATGAACACTTTGTTTGTTTGTATTTTGTTTCTTGCCCCTAAGATTTTCAGAAATTTCATCCTTTGTTTTTATTCATCATTGTATTACATGTTAATAAATATAAAAGACCTTTGTATTAATTTCTTATTTGAATTAAACTTTAATTGAAAGGTTGTAACTTTTAGTTTCATCAGATTTTTAATCTTCGTTAAAATTTCCTACAGTTGAACGGATCATCAATATCTTTTAGATTAAAGAGAATTTTTTGTTTTAAAATTTATGTAGGGAAACTTAATAGTGATCATCAATGTGTGTTTTGATTTTATACCATAGTTTCCATTACTATTCTGAGTTCTTCTTTAAGTGAACAACTGGATGTTCCCATTTTTTACGTGTTGTACACACAAACAACATCAAATCTTGATTTATATAACATGTGTCAACTACATAATTTCCAATTCTGATAACAGTAATACTTTTGAAGATTATATTTTATGTGAGATTATTTGCTAACACTACATATACACTTCATTTTTAGATTAAATCCGGACAAAGACGTGATAGCCAACTTTCATCAGGACTGCATAGTTTGACCGATAAAGTATTATCATTACGTGATAATTTACGCACTGTACTTACTCGTCATCATCGTATTTCACAAATACACACTAATATAGAAGCAGTGGATAATCAAAATTTACTAGATACCTACAATAACGACGGTGACAATGAATCTGAAGATGAAATAATGAATACGCAAAATTCTTTCATTGAAAAATCATTTATCTCATTAGGTGCACAAAATTTTACGGATAATGAGAACAATATTTCTCTGGAGATGCGAAAAGCGCGTAGCTGGAGTTCTCGAACATGTCGATAGTCATCTCTATTATTTCTTCCAAAGATTAGTTTTTTTCTGTTTTTGCATCGTTTGATTAGATGACTCGATGTTAGTTCCTAACTGCTTTTCTTTTTACCCAAAACTGATTTAAATAAATAAAATATGATACATTCCTACAGGTTAGTCGATAGTTGGCATATTTTACAGCCTTGATGCATTTCGTCTCGTCACTTGTTTGTTGATTTTGTTTTTCTCACTTTTGGCGTCTCATTGATACACAAATTTTCATTTCTAATTTCCATTGGAATTACTCTGCTGGGTCTCTCGATCTGTAATCTTATTATATTGGGTTTTCTATTTTGCTTCATTTAATTTCTTACTATCTGTAAAATTGTTAATGCATCCAAATATCACTTCTTGATATTATTTCTCTTCTAATTCTTGTTTTCGCCCTCAAATTGTGTTATTTCTTTCTCTGACTATTGTGATATACCATTACTTACTGATAGGAAAACGTGTACATGTTTGAAAAGAAATTTTTGCTTTCTGTGATTCCGTACTTATATAAACTTAAGCAGATAATATTGATGGTAATGTTTTGCTTTTTTATTGAATTTTGAAAATGACAAAGTTAATTTGCTATAAATAGCTAAATACTTTTTGTGTTGATTGGAGTGACATCATGACATTCCAAGTGAAACTAGTTGATCATAGCCAACATAGGGCTAGAAATAAATGTGCACTGGTACGATTTGATGCATATCATAATAGCAGATGGAGAGAAAACTCATTAGTTGATAAGCAAAATAAGATAAATGTATCCAAATTGAGTAGAAAGGTAAAAATAAGAAATGTAGCTCACGGGGGAAATGAGATCTAAGGATAAAAAGTACTCTAATTGATTGTTCATAGATGAGCAGTGAATAAATGTAACTGCTACAATGAGACCCAATATCTTCAGCCATAAATTAATATTCCGTGTCTGTGAACCAAGAAGTCTGGGTTTATCGATACGATACAGTCCAAAAATTAATGGTTTTAATTAACTTACGCTATATCTTTGATATGACTCAGAATCGGTCACAACTGCACAGATCCAGAGTCTTCATATACCTTTATGCATACCTTTCGACCATTCTTTTTTAACTCTATTCTCAATGTTTGGTCTTAATGATAATAGCTATTACATTATTTCGACCACTTTGTTGTTCATCTTATAGAGCTAATGTGGTGTGGTAACTTGGGCTAATGCATTTTTGTACCACTCTCTGCAATGACTTTAACTGATTGACTCTATCGCCCATCTTACTCCTGTCCTTAAGCTTAACATCAATATGGATCAGTTAAAAGTTTCATCATACGCGAATGGTTCTTAAATTTGCCTCAAATTAGATTCTAGCCAACTGCAAGTGTCCTCTACTTCTATAGACTATGTTTTGAAGCTGCAGAGCAATAAGGATTTGACCTCTACGCAGCGGAAGCATGTCTCCTATATGCCAGAGATTTGGTAGGTTGGGAAACACCAGGCGTTTTTGTACTCATACAAATATGTCGTCACCCACCAAAATCCAGTTACTTGGTCATTACGCCCGGATACCTCATCCTTTAATAGGAGGGATCCAGAAACAAGTATATGGAATGCTTGTGCCATTACATTTTGGTTACATCACTTAAGTATTCGTAACTTCGAACGGTACAAGTTTGGACCACAATAGATATTACTATGTAGCAGGTTTTGAATGAGTAACGCAAATCAATTTTTGACCAAACATTCGCCCTCATGTCGGATGTACCGGCACTTTTTTCCAGTTTCGGTATACTTATCTCGTCGGTGATCGCTTATTAGTCCGATCAGCTGAGACGTTTGTACTGCAAAACATTCTCTGATTATCGCTAACTGTTTACTTCGTAAATTTCGTTTTTTCTTATCCCTTATAATTTTTGTTTCCAAGTCTTCCGAAATGTTATCAATACATGGCAATATTATTTAGCCTTTGCCTTTCACAATGATAGTGATGCGAAAACAAAAATCAGAGTGCAAAGGTATCGTCCGTATTGGAAAACCAAAGTTTAATCAGAACGGATTTGAAAGGCATAAGGCAATATTCATTATTCCCCGTGTAATAAAGGTATGGATACTTGCACCCAACCCATAAGACCACTAGAACTGGTGGCATAGCCAACCACATCTCATGTTTGTTATTGTGATGAACACATACATCAAAGTACTAGCTTCTATAGATACGTATCGTCTAGGTAACTAAATCTTCTTTGCTCCAAGCGACATTCTGTGTTGAGCCAGATTCCCAGATGTCACATAAGCTAAACGCCTCACTTTTAGATCTCACTTACTAAGACTCCTACAATGCCTACGTGGAAACGTTTACTAGAAGGTAGCTCACCTGATATAAAGTGTGTAACCTATCTCTTGTACGGCTGTAATAATTATAAAGTTTACTTTTTAGCACGTAAGTAATTCGCCGTTGCTAATCGTGACAAACACACCTAACAGACTTCTACTCGACGACTACATATTCGATGAACAAGATGACCTGCACGAGTTTCTCCTACGGTTATGAACATCATCCCTGAGCAACCTAAAGATACTCAGTATTAACGCATATATGATAACGGGCTCAACCAGCAATAAATTTGGTCAGAGCTAGTTTTAAGATTGAAAACCAATGAAACGTGGTATAAACACTGGAAATACCTAGTATATCATGCATAAAGTAGGAACTGTGATGTAAACATGCGCGTTTACAAAACGAATATAAGCGGGACCTAACACCACTAACTGATGCCCGAAAGACTTACCGATAAACACGGTTAGGAAACAGTAACTATGCCCATCCACTGACTACCTTGATTTGCGACGATGACGGCGCAGGTGTAAAGGCTGTAACTTCGATCCCTAATCTTTTCTATCAACATGACCACCACTCCTACTCTGGAGTTTGTCCTAGCAATTTTATTTTTCTGGGCTAACTGATTACGGCAACATGAGATGGTGTACAAGCGTGACAAGTTCGAATAACGTTAATAAGTAGGGTCAGGCTTGTTACATTCAGTCTTAACATGGTATAGACAAATAAGAACCTACTGCTCTTAGAAAACAAGTTTTGGCTCTCCAACTAGACCACTGCAGAATACAGGCAACAAACACTACGAGGCTACTAGGAAACAAAGGATTCCCATTGTACAGACTAGAACACATGTAAGTGAACAACTGATTTCAATCAGAAATGTCATCAGGTTTTCATCTAATCTAAAGGAATATAAATATTCATGTTTTATTAGAATATTATTATAACCGGATCGAGAACAGCGTCGATCGCAATTCTACAAGAATCCACCAGGAAGTGTCACGCTACTCAGCGTAAAACGACCAACTGAGTATCGAATTTCAAGGAACTAGACAATGCAAGCACTCAAAATTAGATATGCTGAAGTGCAGGTTTCAAACTAATCAGTGAACATTTCGAAAACTAACTGAGAAGCAAAGATCACATTTGTAATGTTTTTTCCAAACTCACTTGAGTACGAATTGTGTAGGACACATACATTAAGAAATAGATGTGCTAAGTTCTATTTGGATGGAACAACTATGATTAGCTCGAAAGAACACGCAACAAATTAGCAAACTACCTTACTTTCCGTGATAAAAATGCTTGACGAAGCATGTCCAGGTCTACCATCGGGTCTGATTAAAACCAGTGTTGTGAACATCGACTACAAATCCCAGTGGTTACTCAGAAACACAATGACACCACAATCCTTAGATCGTATGAAGCAAAGAGAAAGACAAGAACTCACGTCTATTAGTGATTAAAACACTCGGAAAAAGAGACATGACAAGTAGCCCCCAGTAATAAACATTAAGTGAACTAACATCCTCATATGTATCCAATATATTCTGTACATAAGATGCAATTAACCGAACAAGTCAAAGCCCATTGATTCATCAGAATCGTCATCTGAAACTGGTTTCTTTTCTTCTTTTGCAGGTTCTTTACCCTTTTCGGCACCACCATTGGCTGCTGCGGCTGAGGCCGACGTCGGGGCAGCAGCGGCAGTAGGTGCAGCAGACCCCATCGACATCAACAGATCTTTGACATTCTTTCCGTTTAGAGCTGTTGCAAAAAGATTGGGAAGATACGACTCAACAAACTTGATGTTAGCAGCCTTCAGGATGGTATTTATTTTGTCAGCTGAAAATACAGAATTACTATATTAGCTCTGAAAATAACACTACTTTTAACACAAAAAATGCATTATATTGTGACACCGACTACAGAGCATTTATGTTTCTACACTAGCAAACAAAATAAACTACGCTAATAGTATAAAATATTCTAACGGCAAAAGATACCAAGTTAATTTCAATTACCTGTGACGTCGATGTCATCGTCAGCTAGCATCAATGCAGCGTAAACACATGCTAACTCGCTTTTGGACATAACTATAAACGTGAGCCGCTAAAAGCCTTAGCCACGAGGGGAGCACCACGTTTGTAAAACACCAACACACTGGTTTAAACAAAAAGGAAACACTCTTCAACTGTTTCAATAATCTACCTAGATTCATATCAACAAATAACAATTCTTGGTGTTTTTTAATGCCGTGCGACTATTAAAAACACGATAATATGTTTTGAATGAGCTGTATATACCGATATTAGTAACTTGATCTGATTTGTCAGAAAACGTAACTCAGCATCCTGACTGGTGCCAAACAGACATGCCAACAGGTTTGTGGTGGATTAAAATTTTTCTAAACTTGCACCAGAAATCGTTGAATTTTTAATTTCGAACCCCCTAGGACAAAGTATTTCTCCTTAAAGTCATTACATCTCATAAATGGTCTACCGGATGAGTGCACTCAAAACAAAAAATTTCCCAAAAGCAATAATGACATTTAAACGGTAGAAGTCAAAAAACAACTCTGGTTGAGAGAATAATCCTCATCAAAGTGGACGAATGACGAAATCCTCCAGGGAATGTCCCTCTTCAGTCTGTCTAGTAATGCTCCTCATGAGGATTGTAGTTTGAGTAAATCCTCAAAACAATAGTTCTATAAGACATCGACACTGATGCTGAACTCGCTGGTTTTACTGGACACGCCTTGCAAAAGTATCACATGTAAATGTGTCGGTAAAGTTTAAATACCTGTAGCAATTTAGGATTATACACCATTTATCCTATTGAGGAATACTCATAAAATCATCGAAGCAAGCGCACTATCTAGAACAGTTGATGTAATTACACTGAGAAACAAGTGGTCGTGCCACATATTATAACGCAGTGAGTGTGCTCAAAGGAGCAAACTAGGTAGATCTAAATCTGAAACACCAGTTTTTCTTGCATAACGAAATCATAAAAAAGCAACCCTGAGTTTCTTCACTTTTTTTGCGAGAAAGGAGGCGTACACAACACCAAATATCCTGGGTTTAGACTTCTAAGCAGTACATAGCTCACCCCCCAAAACAAACGGAACTTCTGGTCACTTGAACCTACACAAATCTTTTTTGCCTAGATGGCATTAAACTCATTATTCTGTAGGAATGCGCGAATAGTACAATATGGGTTTTCAACTTGTCTCTTTATAAGTTCCTTCTCTGTAAGTCTTTTTCCTCTAGATCATAATGAGGTTTGCTACCTGGTGGATCATGTAACGCGGACTTGTTAGCTTCTGTATTAACCCTTTATCTAATTGTACACTGCAAAATGGCGTTTCATAATTGTCACGTGTCTCAAGCAAGTGTCCAGATTCGCCTTTTTCACTACTTTATGGCTAACCACTTTCGAGGCCATTATGGAAATGTTGGTAAAGTCGGCATGGGACTGCAGTTGTTTCATCAGGTGACAAACGACTGAAATATCCCACCCCAAAAAGTGATATCAGCCCCACTGGTAGAAGCTTTCAAATAAAAGTAAAGTCTTCGCTGGGAAACGTACAACAGAGACTATTGAAACAGACTTATGAATCGCTTTTACTCAGTGGGGTTTCGTTTCATCTTTATCACATTCATTGTCCTTTGTCCTTTGCACCGTTCAAGCAGAAGTATGGAGTATAATGCAGGCAGAACTTATTTTATTGTACTCAAGTAGCATATTTGGGTTGGTCTTCTGATGTTACTCAGGTCGCTGATTACTGTATATCTACTGTATTCTTTCTCACTTTGACTTTTCCTGGCTATCACACCGGGTGACCGTCTCATTGATTTGTATATTTGGAATTGATTGTATAAATCTATAGCTGGTAGGACGGATAGTTGATTTCTTAATTGTGATTCATTATCAGTATCACTGTCGTCCTATTTTAACAATGTGCATTTTGGTACCTGTGTTTATAGTGATAGGCATCAGACATGTTTTAAACTATTTATATATGAAGTTTTGATCAGATTTTAGCACATCATCCTTTATTACTTATCTCCAAAACTTTTATATCATCGAAACATATGCTACAGTTCAGTTGTTTACATAATGAATGAATGTTAGTGCAACATGATGAAGGCTGTGAAAAATTCTGAACACTCCTGACAAAACATAAAATCCTCAATGTGTTTGGCTTAATATATCAGGGTTTATCGGCCCTGCTTTTAATATTGTACCAGCCTATGAAGTCTTGCAGAATGGTATCAGAATGAAAAGCTTGAAAGCAGTTGATCAGACTTTGAAGAAGTGTTCATCTCTATGTACGTCGGTATTATATTTAGACAGCCGCAAAAGAGACAGCGATATCTGCGAGGAGCTACTCATCCACTGACTACCTTGATGTGCGATCATACGTTGGCGTAGCTGTGGGCTGGAAAAAAGCTAGGGGTAATAAAAATGACATGGTATCACTCTCCGAGACACTGATGGAATGAACCATGTAGATGAATGCAGAACATCTGTTTGTTACACGCGTGATCATTGTGATTAATGGTCATAGACATTGAATGATTTGGTTCAATAAATTTCACAAGGGTGCGTGAGCACTCACAATATACCTTTTCTGAAACCCCAAGTTTCTGAATCTTCCAAAAACTTGTTTCTTCATTTTATGTTTTATCGAATTGTACCTTTTTGATTCAGAATAATACTGTTACTACCTATACTACTCTGTGATATCCCCCAACGTTTTCATGTCTCTATGCTAACGGGTGTGGCAGCTCGCCAGATGTACAGATGTACCAGGTTGCGTTTCACTGACTTACTGACCTTGCATAAAATTAGTTATCAGGCGGTCGCGTGAATGAAGTTGTTCTCATTTGACTTCTCGTCCATGTTGTTGCTACAGCCTTGTACTTTCTAGTGTTCTCAAAACTTGTTCAAACTTCAGTGTTATTTTCGAAAGCAGACATTTTTCAGATGTGCTATTTTCTACAAGGAGGCTTATGTAGTGTCGGTAATTATGTTAAGCCCATATATCGGCGAGACTCTAATTTAGGGACGACCTTTGAACGAATTTTGAGTGACCTTGAGAATAATAGCCAATCAAAAGACACCCAGTATAACGTAGAAATATATTAGAAGATACTAATGGATTACAGTGAATATACTTCTTTTACATGATTTAAAAACTTATCAAGGTTTGCTAAAGTTTCAGATGTTTTGAAATCATATTGCATACGGTATAAAAAGTCATAAATTCCAAGTACCTGTCGAGTATATTTACGGAAATGCTACTTACACAATCCTACTTTATACTACGTCCCCTGTTGTATTTTCGCTTTCTCACTGCCGTTTTATCTGTCTGCACGATACATCCTACTCCTCCGAATGATTGGTGTACAAGTGTTATTTTAGTTGCACGGCAGTACTCATACCACTTGACTGCTGAATTTTCATAAACAACTGCAAACGCCGCAGCCAGTGTTACTGGTGTATTTATTACCCAATTTGCAACTATTATCATAATCTGATTCAGTTTCAGTAGCAATCGAGCAAAGAAAGTCCCCGTTCTAGCAGACTTTCTCCTCCAACATGAAGGACAACGAAATATAATCTCACCACGGTTATTTGCACACTTTACTGCAGTCATTTGATAACCGCAGTCTCACGTACAAGAACTTTTTAGTAATCCTATCCCTTGTAGCCTCTCAATAATCACCCCTTCTCTAAAATCCGCTGTAAACCGATGATATGTGAGCATCAGGTGTTAAACTTGGCTCTGTGACCTTTAAACGGCTCAAACGCTTTTGATTGGCTCGTCCCTATATTAGAGTCTCGCCCATATTTCTTATTCTAGCTTTCGGACAGTCTAATCTATTCATTCTATTTGAGTCATATTTTGACTTTGTTAATTATTCGCTCATCAACCTTGACTGTTTTTATATGAGCGTATATGTGTATGTATACTTCTCATCCCATTACTCATCACATTTCCGTAACTTATTTTTGTGTAACTATAAATATTGATTAACGCTTGACTAAAGGGGAGTTGGCTTACCCGCCATTTCCACTGCACGTTGTTTCGCTTCTCTCTATTCCATTAGCTTCATATACTAAATATATTTATCCAAAAGTCCATTCTCGTTATTTGACTTATTTAATTCCGTTATTCACGAACGCGATTTAAGTCAATGGTTATATACGAGGATAGTCGATAGCAATCAGTCATACAATCTACTTGGAGTCAGATCTCTGGTCACTAAATTGGACAGCCCGTCAACAAACATCGTCCGATCTAAAAGACGACAAAATAAGGGAGCCCCACAGTACTTTCTGAGTTTGTGCCGTTTTCGTTTGCCTTAGTTGCTACCTTGGATTGTTGGGCAGCCTTGTCCATAGTAACGATTAACCTATATTAACTGGAACACTTGTTTATTTGGGTCCCATCATGTTAGTCAGCTTGGTTGGGGAACATTTAAACTGAAGACAACAAACTTATGTGAGAAATCATACTGTTAATTATACTGAGATGATAAGAACACAGAAATACATGGACACACGCCGTCACCTACTCATCGTTCCGACATACGTTGCTACTGGCTGCATTTCGAATGAAGTATAGGATGTATTTTATGGATAGCTTTCTACCTCTATACAAAAATCCAAAAAATCAGACGTAGTAATCGTAGCAAGATAGTTTAACTCCCAAGTAAGTATTTTTAATCAAAGTGGAAGACACAGGTGATTCTTGCCATATCCCAGCTCAACAAAACGACAACGGCAACCAGTCGTTATAATTATACTCAGACATCTGTTTATTACTTTCAAGCATCAATTGTAAGTAGGAAGACAGTTAATTTGAAATGGAGATCCCTATAACTTTCTCAACAATGAATGCGAATAGACAATGTATTCATCAGCCAATTTAATGAAGTTGATTGGAAAGCTATCTCTCATTCTGGAGCACATGTCTGGGCTCTGATCATGCTACAGTATGAGCACGAGTCCGTCACTGGATACAGAAAACTGCGGCGATAAAACTTCTTTGAGTTCAAATTAATGAAGGAGATATATGAGCT